AGAGAGAGAGAGAGAGAGGAGAGGAGGGAAAAAGACAAGGAAAGGATGCTGGCGGTTTGCTGGGAAAAGGACGAACCACTGCGGGAGGAACCCTTCGGGGAGAGGCTCGTTGTCTTCGCTCCCCTTCAGCTCTCTTTGCGTTCGTTCGGAGCGGGTGGGAGGAATTAATGTGGCGGAAGAGTAGTACCCTATTCTTTCTGGTAGAGATCGGGTTTTGAAGGAGCGAAGATGGGGGTGGAAAGGAAGGAGAAAAGAAGGAAGAAAGAAGAGGGTGTGGATTGTGGTTGTGGTTGTGGTTGTGGATTGTGGATTCCAAAGGGGCGGAAAGGAAAGAAAGGGAGTGGAGGTGGCCGTTTAGTCGATGGTCAGCGTAAAGAAAGCAGCAGCAGAGAGATAGGAGCAGAACGTGTATCGTCGGAGGTCACCCCTATCACTAGTAGTAACTGAGGTAGGGAAAGGAAGGAAAAGACAAGACAGCTCTTGATCATGGACGGAATACCTAGGTACCTCAGGTAGCTAATCGTGAACAGATGAGCTTTGTCTAGTCCGTGTAGAAGTCATCCATCCACTCCCATGCACTCATTCCCTTTACAGCTGCTCCGTCCGCCTGCCCTCTACCACCCTACATACCTCGTAGAGTATACTGTAGAATACAAAACAGTGATATAGTCTAGTTCATGATGTACAAGAATGAAGTGTTCCAAATTTTATAGCAGGACTTGGTCAACCTGATCTATCCATCTCATCTCCAAACCCTGCTGGAAGTCTAATTGATTAAGCGTTCAGTGACATTCACAACGGGGAAGCAAACCAGCATGAGGGATGTACTGTCCGATCTCTTTAGGCACAGGTACAAATACAGAAGAATACCAGTATCAATACACAGCAATAATACCACACACACCAGCAACCCTATGAGAGCGAATACATGTTCACCAGTGGGGAACAATCAGTTCTTTTTGACCTCTAGAACAATCACAATGCAGGAAATGTCTTGGAGGTTCCCAAACACCGCAAATTTTCGCGGCAACAGAATAATAATAGCAGCAAGTGGAGGAGCACTTCCTCGTTTTGACATCGGACTCGGCTGTGTCTCACCCCAGCTTATGCTTGAGAGTTGACCGCTTAGTTACTTTGGACGTTGACAGAAAAAAGAGGGTGCGTGGTGTTAGTGCCGGTCTATGTTGGTGGTGTCGACTAGCCCCTTACTTCTACAATTGCCACAGCCCGAAAGTGCACAGCCACTTCAATCCCGACGGCTGGTTCCTCTATTGTACTTGTACTGGTAGGTAGACGACCTGCCTACTGTGGGACAGCTACTTGTGCAGTGTCTTTCCGCTACTGTCATTTTACGGACGTATTACCTGTATAGGACGCTTTCCATCCATGGGTGTCCGACATCGATCTGCTGGCAACCCTTTTTCCCTACCAAAAGCCGAACCCAATCAAAAATTCCTGTCGGTCCGGGATCATGGATCTTCTGGTTGTGTATGTTGATCCGTTTCATCTGTCCCCCGTAATGTTTAGCACACTGATGATCGCCTCCAGAACTAGTGGCGATCATACATCTGCCAGTCCCGGTGGCTCCAGCAGTCGCTCCGCCTAGAGTTGGTCCGGTCATTCCTGAGAACCACGCTATCACCACTTGGGAGGAACAAACGGAGAAATAGGAGACCCGAACAGTCGCAGCAGATCGAGTCTGAATGCGATTCCTCTCGGGTTTCTTGGAGTCATGTGGCAACTCCCGAGGCAAAAGAGGGATGAAAAAGAAAATTCAGATCTCGGTCAAACCGATCGATCTGGTCTGGACAACTCGAGAGGGACAGGGGACTTCTGGTTTAGGTAAGCCTCCTCGGGAGTCAACTAGTTAGTTAACTAACCAGGTAGTCATTCTCTGTCCCGCCGCAGCGGATTTCTTCTGAAATGCCTGCATATCCGGACATACCATACATACGCACGAGGGAAATGAAGTCCCTCGATGCAATCGAAGACTGGACAGGATCAGACGCAAGCAGATTATACAACATCATCCTTCGATAACACCATGCACTATCCAACTAATCGCTGGAACGGTTCGCCTAGATGAAAAAAATCGACTCCAGTGGCTTCTCTCTGACTGGTTCATCTCACGGGGGACCCAAGCAAAGGTTCGGCGGTTGACCTGGTTCCGTAGATACGTACGGAGTAGAATCAGCATCGACCGGTGGGGGACCAGGGGGAAAGTTCTTAGAAGAGGTAAAGTAAGGTATCTAAGCGGTACGTGTATTTGGTACTTGTATTCATACACAATACCATTACCTATTCCATCGTTCGTACCTCGGAGATCCTTTGGATTGAGAAGTACCCAAGGACATCCCCCGAGACATTATTAACCGATATCTCCCATTGAATGTCCGGACTCAACGGTCGTCAGTAGCTCCACTCGGTGAGAGGTGGCCCAACGAGGGATCCCTTCTCTGTCACCAACCGTCCACCATTCCGTTTCGAGATCGCCTACGCGAAATGGGAAGTCCTCCGTCGAGGACGAAAAGGCGGGTAAAGCGCATACTTCGGACGGGTCCAAATCCCTACCTACCAGGATCCGTCGGGGTTGGTCAAATCACCGCATTTGTTGGTGACCTGGATGACCGCACAGACAAGATCAGAATCCCATAGGGCACACCGCGATAACTAACTAACTACAGGGATGCTCATACTTAGTAAGCGTGTGGTTAGGGCAGATCGGCTGCATCTCCAGATCCCATCCAAAGACCCTACGGATCTGGAGATCGATCTCCTTACGTCGACCGCGAGAGTGGGTGTCCCTACCCCCCACGGATCTGTACGACTGTTGGTAAGGTCGGTAGCACCACAGCAAATGGACCCGTTTCTTCCCCATACACACCTCCATCTGCAAGTCTCCCAGTATCCTTCCCGCAGGCTGCAGAAGATCTTGTACTCTACTGGTGGGTGTTGACGATTCTTGCCACCCACAGGTGACCCGATGACCTGCGATGGTCGAATCCCCAAAATCGCGATCCGGGCTGGTATCTATCATGTTGCCAGTCCGTTGCTCTGATAAGTCTTTTCTTTCATCGTTCAGGATGCTTTGCACAAGATGGTGGCATTCTTTCCAGTCGGCTCGACAGACCGCCCTATGTGCGTAGACCGTGGTGGTGTATATATCCCCCGATATATATTCCGTAATCTCATCGTCTCCGCCTGGAATATTCAGACCTACCCTGAGATATATACTTTTCTTATGCATGAATCATGACTACACACCCCGGCTCATTGACACCGATGACCACTCTCCGAAGCCCTCCGCACCCTAGTCTGAGGATCATTGGATAGGATCATGAGAACAGACCGTCTGCATAGCGGGAGGGGCAACGGCGATACGCAGTGGGAAATGGTACTGGTGAAAGATACTTCTATGGGCCCCCACGACGCCCGAAAGCATCTGACGTGGTAATTTTCACTCTTCCTAAAATGTATATTCATGAGTCTATTCGGAGATGTCTGTCAACAAAGCAGTCTCGTCTCGTGATACGTAAATAAACATGGCGGGGTATAGTTACTGACAAGGGGAAAGTCACGGGATGGCGGGTTTGGTCTCTCCCCCCCACCGTACTGCCGGCGAAGAGTCACATTTCGGAAAGTGGGCTGGATTTGGTTGATATCTAACAATTTCCCCCCCTCCACATTGGAGTCTCCCAGCACCGCTCCTCTCAACTATCCTTCCCGCGCCGTTTCTCCCGCGGTCGACGTCTGCAGCCATGGCGTCCGACATGACGAAACCCATCCTGGACGCTCTGTCCGCGTCCGATGGCCCCATTCTCTCCAACGAAGCCTTCCCCTCCACCCCCTCATTAAATATTAAGAGTGCCCTTGACCGCCTCGGCTCGCGACAGATGGTCGAATATGACACCAAGGAGAAGGAGGTTGCCACCTTGACCAAGGAAGGCGAGGAAATCGCCGCCAATGGCAGCCACGAAGCGAAGGTGTTCGAGGCGGTCGTGGCCGCCATGGAGGGGCTCAAGATCGGCGATCTGCCTGGGATTGTCGGCAAGGAGAACGCCAAGGTCGGTCAAGGCAACGCCTTCAAGAAGGGCTGGATCAAGAAGGACGGCGCGGTCCTGCGGGCGAACACGGATTCCATCGTCGACGAGACCCGCGAGCAGCTGTTGACCGTACAGCGCACACGGACCCTCGGGGACCAGAAGGCCCTCCAGGACCTGAAACGGCGCAAGCTGATCGCCTTCCAGAAGGAGCTCACCTACACGATCCGTAAGGGCCCCAAGTACGCCCGCGAATTCGTCAAGGAGGAGACGGACCTGACGGCGGAGATGCTGGCTAGCGGGGCCTGGAAGACGGCCCAGCTGAAGCCCTACAACTTCAAGGCTAAGGGTGCCCCGACCCCGGCCGGCGCCTTCCACCCGCTCAACAAGGTGCGACAGGAGTTCCGCAACATCTTCTTTGAGATGGGCTTCGAGGAGATGCCCACCAACCGCTTCGTGGAGACGGGTTTCTGGAACTTCGACGCCCTCTTCGTGCCCCAGCAACATCCCGCCCGCGACCTGCAAGATACCTTCTACATTTCCGACCCGCCCAAGGCCGACCCTCCCCGCGAGGACCCGGAGAACGATCCGCACCGCGTGAAGATCATCCAGCCCTCCGGCGCCGCCGCCACCGCGAAGCCCCTCGACTACAAGAAGTACTGGGAGGATGTGCGTGAGGTGCACCAGAACGGCAAGTACGGCTCCATTGGGCTACCGGTACCCGTGGGACGCCGACGAGTCGCTGCGACTGGTGCTCCGTACCCACACGACGTCGGTGTCGACGTACGTCCTGCACAAGCTCGCGGCCAACCCGCGGCCGGCACGATACTTCAGTATCGACCGTGTCTTCCGTAACGAGGCGGTCGATGCTACCCATTTGGCCGAGTTCCACCAGATCGAGGGTGTCATTGCCGACTTTGGCCTCACCCTGGGCGGTCTGATCGGATTCATGGAGGTCTTCTTCGCGAAGATGGGCATCCACCAGCTGCGGTTCAAGCCCGCGTACAACCCTTACACCGAGCCCAGTATGGAGATCTTCGGCTACCACGAGGGCCTGGGCAAGTGGGTGGAGATCGGGAACAGTGGTATGTTCCGGCCGGAGATGCTGGAGCCGATGGGTCTGCCGAAGGGCATGCAGGTGTACGGATGGGGGTTGAGTTTGGAGAGACCGACCATGATCAAGTGAGTTTCTGACGACTATGCATGGCGATAATTGCTAACGAGTGCTCTAGGTACGGCGTGAGTAACATCCGAGAACTGCTCGGACACAAGGTCGACCTCAACTTCATCGAGACGAACCCGGCCGTGAGACTGGAGAAGGATTAGATGGAATGTCTGGGGGATATCAGGATGAATATAGAACTGTCGAAAAGAATTTACGATGTATTGCTTGACTGGTTACGATGGAGTAAAAATGTATCGAACATACAATTCTACACGATAAATATGTCCCACCCGTATCTGTGCCCCAGCGCACTTCTCTGCAGCAGTGGCTCTTCAGTAGGCGGTTGTGATATTCGGCTGGATGGATGAATGTCTACCTCCTCGCTCATGGAGCCACCGAACGAATACAGCGAATGCATCCAATCCGGCAGCGGGTGAGGAGGCCTTGATGTGCCGGTCGAAGAATCAGGTTTACAAGGACATCCGGGAACGATGTGCGAGAACAGTTGGATTGCAGGCCGAACGGCGCCTTATCGAAAGTAGAAAAGGTAAGACGGTATGAATTTTATTCATTCACATTTTTTTTATCTTAGAAAAATCATGTCTCCGATGCGAACCCTCGACCGGGGCCATCAATCATTCCTAGAACCCATATTAGCCAGATCCCCACGACGGCAGACACAGGAGATCTCACCATCAACCCAACAGCCCTCCGACAACCAAGCGGCAGGATTTACCGCTGGCGGCTGGCGGTCCACACGTTGCGGATGTAGCCGTCACGCTGGGTGAGACGGTTCAGGGAGTCATCGCTCTCGCCGCGGGCACGGATGAAGCCGCACAGAGCGTAGGTCTGGTTCTCGCCGGTGTAGCGGCCGTTCTCGTCAACCTTGCCGATGGAGATCTGGACGGAGGCGTGGTCGTTGGCCTTGATGATGCGGTTGGTGGCGCTGCACTTGCGGGGGACGTAGCTGGGATCCGTTAGAATCGATATCGTGTTGAATACGGGTGTTTGATGTCAAGCGGAGGGATATGGCCCAGCGAGAGAGCACAAGCCCAGCGATTCCAATGGCAGTGTGCAAGTTATTTTTTTCTTCTGTGTATCGAACTGATTCCGGATCGCTGGGCTGGCTTCGGTCGCAGACTCTCCCCCCTCCGATAACAAGACCCTGGAAATTCCACAGCAGGGGAAACATACAGATCGACAATCTCTCCCTTTTCGTTCTCCATTTTGGCGGTGTTTGAGTCTGGTTGACGACGACGAGTGGGAAAATCGGAGGGTGCGCTGGCGGGTTGAACGGAGCGGCGAGTGGAAAATGCGTGACTCTCGGTTGCGGCCGATGGTTGTGTGGGTCATGTGACCGCCGTCGTTTATCTGCTGACTCAGCCGATTAGATAAGGGCCTTCCACCTTCCACTTGGCTGGTTACAAGTTAGAAGGATACTCGATGCTGTCATTTCTAAGTGTTTATACATCTATAAACTGCTCTTCTCGCGATCCTCCTCTAGTATCTCCTTTCTCGTTCCCACGTCAACCCGGCGGACAGACCCCTTCTTAAACTCCACGAGCACGACCAGATCTGACTCGCCGCGGCGGTCGCTCCCCTTGAGCTCCGGCCCGGGATGGTCGAGCGCCAGCACTGACCGGCCGGTAGAGGTCATCTTGAGCACCTTGGGGGAGATGCACTTGGTGGTCCAGGGCGGGGAGCCGGAGTGGGCGAAGTCGGCGAGCGCAGCTTGCCGGCGCATGCGCTCCTCCATAGACGCAGACTCCCGGGGCTCGACGTCCAGGAAACGCGAGGCGAGATGGAGCAGCAAGAACTGCGGCGGGAACAGGATGATATCGCCGCGGTTGGACAGGCGCAGCCACTCGGCCGCGGGCAGGAAGCGCGCCTCGGCGATCTCGACGCCGCCGTCGCTGGTGGGGATCTGGATCTCCTCGGGCTCGCCAGCGGCGGGGATCTCGTCCAGCACGGGCTTCTCGGAGTCCTGCGGCTGCAGGAAGTAGAGGTACATTTGCGTTGTGTAGCGTTTAGGGACGTTGGTGGGTGTGATCCATCGCGAGAAGGGGATTAGGCGGTCTGCACCGGAGAGTTAGTAATGCGTAGACACTCAAGATCAAGGGGAGTCCCTGAGGCCGGAGGGAGGACGACCTGTGTCGGGTACGGCAGCCGGGTTGACTTGTTTCAGCCATTTGTCGAACGTGATCTTGCCCTGGTGGATGGCGCGACGGCCCTGTTCGCGCTCTCGTTCGGGGACGGCGAGGAGCTTGCCGGTGGACTGGTCGCGGGCGAGAAGGATGCCGCTTTCCTCGAAGAGCTCGCGCAGGGCGGCGTTCCGGTACCAGGGTGCATCTTCGTGGCGTTTCTGGTCCTCTGGGGGAGGACAGGGTCCGTCCTGGGCGTCCAGGTTTCCTCCGGGGAACACATGGGCGGACGCGAAGGAGGTGGATGTTTTGACGCGGTGAAGCAGGAGGATCTCATTCTTCGGCGAGACAAGGATGACACTTGCGACGTGTTAGTGGTAGTAACTTGGGCAATATCTCGAGAGCCGTATTGTAGGGAGGCTCGGCGCACCTGGAGCTCGGGCTGGGAATAGCCGGCTTCGGCTTGGGTTTGGCACTGGACGACGGCATGGTGGAGGACTGGGAGACAGAGGAGTAATGCTGGACCCTGACGGGTGATCGCGCAAAGCAGGAGATGCTAACCCGGGGTGCAGCCAGCGTACACTCCTTCTTATAGAGTCGATTGAACCCCGACGGCAGGGGACCTCGGGCTCGCAGCATTAACCGGGAAGCTGAGCGTGACACATGGGCTGCTGCAATCATGTCCGTTGGCGCGTTTCCTTCCGGCACATCGGTCGGGGCTTTTGGATCTGGGAGTTTTGAAAATGGAGCACTAGTCACGGAGGCGCATTGAGGGCGATGGCGGCGTCAACGGGGTGAGAATGTTGATGTTGGAGCTGAAGATACGGCAGAAGGTCCATACCAGAGGGTCCTTTTTGCCTAGGCTGTTCTGTACCCCGCGTCTGCCCGCGCCGACTTCCCCACATTTCTCAACTACCATAAAACGTCGCTATAAGCGAGTAAAGCAGACGGCCCCCTAAAGTTGCTTATAGTATTGCTATTCCCACTTGCTGCTCTACCTTCAGCCCCTTCAGCCCTGAACAACGCTTCGACTGAATGTAGCCTGAAGCCCGTCTAAAACTCACTGCTTGCTCATGTATTCTTCTTATTTAATCTGCCAGTTCGCTCTGTCCGCCACAATCCATTTCAATATAACACGGTATTATTTCTCCTAGAGACAGTTGTCTGCAGTGCAGCCCAACAGCATGTGTTAGACAGTTACGCAGTCACGGGATCCTTTTTCTAGGCCATCGTGAACCCCGCCGTCAGCCTCTCACTAATAAGATTTTTAGACATCTCTTTAAATGATCAGACTGGTCTAGCATTTACTCCTTAGTTTTCCCTTCTGCGGCTCCGCATATCCTATTATTATCTGTGATGGCCCAAGCTGATCCGTCCTACACTCCGATAGCATCGGAAAGCGTTAAATCTTGCGCAGCTCTAGCATGGTCAGAAGCGCGTCCTGTTGCGGAATCTCTACCCAAACCTATGCGTTCCACGTTTGCCCGGTTCTTCCCAACGGATGCTTGCGAGGCCCCCATTAGCGCCGCTATTTCAGAGCTTAAGGTGAGGAATTCACTCTGAAAATACGTTGGATTTATTACTAAAATTATCTCGATGAAGTCTCAATCGGAAAATGCAATCGCACCGCCCAATACCTCAGACTACAAGAGAGGAGGATTTGTTTTCTTCCCGGGAAAATCACGAGTAGGACGAACTTTTTCAATCATGATACCGTTGCACATTACTGGCAATACATACATTGATGGTTCGGTGCTGCAAAAAGATTGTTTCTACCATATCCGCCGTATATGTGAAATTGAAGTATCTGAAGGTGCGAAATTAGTGGCCCTGGTTATAGACTTTGATTGATATCAGTGAGCTTCATTGGAGGGAGGTGTGAGGCTTCAAGTTGTACATATTCGAGTTTTATCCCCAAGTACAGGGCCGTTTTATTTACTTGCCTAAGCCATCAAGGTTGTTGTATGTGGTTCTCCAACCAACTGGATGGTGCCCCATATTTTAGGCCCAGTAATCAGAATGTTTTCCACGTCGGATAAATACAGTAGATCTCTAATATAGAACCAGAGCTCGCGTAGGAGATCTTCCAATAACTTATATCTTAGACCCATGGCAGTACAGGTAAAAGCTAAGGAGGTGAATTAGATCTCAGAACCTAGGGAACGCGTCTTATATATCGCGTTAGCATACAGGAGAAACTCGCTACTAAGTAACCTTTTCCGCAATACTTGCTGTATCCTTATACTTCAGATAGAGTAGACAGATACTGCACCACTAAGCCTGCGTTATCTTCGCCAATCGAAAGACATCGCCATAGAGGCTAGTGTCACGCCACCAATCCTAAAATAGAGATTCTTAGGGCTACATTCTAGTAGTCTTCTATTAAGCAGCCTATATTAGGCCCCCCCCCCCCCCCCCCCCAGATAGGAAGCCGCTATATAAGCCCGTGATATCACGTGATGCCCCACAAGTTACAAAAACTATCTTCTTACTAACGGTTTTCCACAATCGAGCCGCGCCTACAACCGAGCCGCGCCCTTTCCACCAAAACTCCTATTTCCTAAGGCTTTTCAACCACCAACGCCATTAAATCTAACTAACTAAATACATGAAATTATAGCCATCTACTAGGGCAATTTCGAATTGTATGTCCGATTGTTCCACACCCACTACAGCGCTGCGGAGCTCGTCGACGAGGCGCTAGAGTAGATTCCGCAGGCTGCTCATTAAGCTGCGTATCAAGCTGCTGAACGCGATTTTCACCTTCCTGCACATTAAGAAGGCGGTCATTACCTATCTCAGCACGTCTTCTTGCTTTTTTTTGACGTTGTCGTCCATTTTCAGCGCGTATAGCCCTAATTTCTTGCTGCAAAAGAAGGGTAGTTTGCATCGCCATTTGCGCTGCTTTCTCCAGATGTTGAATATGCGCAATAGGACTGCTAGAAAGCTGCCGCTTTCTATTAAGGCTATTCTGCAGGCTTCGAACCTTTCGATTCAGCTGGCGAGTATTCTGCGGAGTCTGAAAAGCAGAGGAAACTGAGCCTTCAACTAGTGGTGGTGTAGGCGTACGCAGTTGAAAGGTAAGCTTGGAAAGAACATGCTCTGGATCAAGCGGCTTAAGCCCTGCTCCTCTAAAGCCGCTGCAGATATTGGCCGAAGTAAAGATTTGCTTGTGGGCGTCCGGATATAGCGATAGGAAGTCTTCTTTATCAATATGGTTGTTGCCAGCAGCCATAAGGTCTTCAAGGAGCTTTCCGTACGCCTCTTTAAGCGGGCCAAAAACGCCCACATCAAGCGGTTGAAGAAGATGTGAAGTATGGGCAGGCATGCAGAGACATATTATTGCATTCTGCTTGCAGAAATCATCGAATTCAGCAGTCAAATGACTACTATGGCCGTCAAGAATAAGCAAGCGCTTTGCACCAGTCATATAGCGCTTAGAAAGCGGTTCAAAGACATTTTTCAGCCAGAGAAGGCCTATTTCATCAGTCGTCCAGCCATTCTGACTAGTAGAAATCCACCAGTCGCGAGGCAGCTTAGGTTCTTGGAACCAGGCAGCCTGTTGAACGCTTGCCTTTAATATAATGACTGGCGGTAGATATACGCCTCTTGACCCGATTGTTTCGATGATTGTAACCCATTCACGATTGCCCTGAATAACTCTGCGCGGTCGCTCGCTTCGCTCTACTGCAGTAATCACTTTTGAAGTAGAGCAGACTCCCATTGCAAAGCCAGTTTCGTCGAAATTCCAGATATCGTCTTCATGTATGCCGTGTTCTTGAATAGTCGCTCGTACGGTCTCAAACCACGGGCCTATAACCTTTGGATCTTCCTGCTTTGCGCGCTGATAGGTAATACGCCTTGTATATCGCGTACGGAGCTGAGGATGGCGTTTAACAAAGTTATAAGGCCAGTTAGTTCCGATAGCTGCGGTAGGGTCTTGTAAACGACTGCGAAGTAAAACCTGGGCCATTCCACGTAGAAATTCGGGTCGAATTGGAAATCCTCGCGTATCTGCATCTAATAATCGCTTTAGAAGTAATTCCTCTTCGAATTCGGTCAGTTTATGACCATTGGCGCGTGTTTCCGACCGTGATTTAGCACCATGAAGCCGGTCGCGTACAGTGCTTTCGGGGACAGCAAAAAGGGCCACAGCGCGTTTAATTGATTTAACCTGGCCTTTCTGATAAGCTGAAATAGCCATCTGAATGCGCGATTCTTTAGAAAGATGCATATTAAATTGTGGTGATGAGAAAAGACGCGTTGAATTTAGGAAGTAGGAGTTTTGGTGGAAAGGGCGCGGCTCGGTTGTAGGCGCGGCTCGATTGTGGAAAACGTTATTTTCTATATATATTTTTTTAATAGATCAGGTGGCCTTATATAAGCTCAAATAACAACTTTGTATGAGAGAAGGCTTTTGTTAAGCAACTTGCTTGTACAGAGTAGATAGATAGGTATTAGGCATGTCGTATGGAAAATCAAATTGGGTGGGATTTGGTTGCTTATATTACATGTTTGCTTATAAAAGGTTGCCTATAGCGAGGTTTTACAGTATATTCAAGACAAGAGAACAGTCTTGGAAGATATTATATATTGTCTTGCGTCTGTTCCTTGAAGAGCTGCTGGAAATATCTGACTGGAGAACAGCCTATTACTGGACTTGTGTTATAGAACACTCCATGACCGTCTACCATCGGTCTATGTCCGATAGCCCCTTGTTATCCCGTTGTACGCCATTCTGTTACAGGGCCTGATAGCATCACACTTTGCAGCCATCATCCACTCTCAAGAAACCAACGCAGCAGGTCGCTTGAACAGATGGAATCGCCATCCTCTGTCATCCTTTGGTGCTCGGCTACTCCAGCGGTTATACAGAGTACCCCTCATCTAAGACCGGACATTAATCCAGAACCAGCAATCTTTTAGTAATGGGAACGATACCTCTGTCATGGGAGCTGCTATATTGGTCAACACCCCAGACATCTTGTTCTTGCTGCTGTAATCTGTCAAAACCTATGTGATGACCTTCGAGTCAAGATAGACTGTGTAGGAATCAATATCATCATGTTCCACGTCAGAGCTTCCCTTCTCGGCGCACGCCGTCTTCCTAAGATCCGTACAAACTCAAGAACCCGGTTCCACGCCATCACCTCGCACCAACGGCGCCATGTCAGACCGAGCCTGCGAGCCTTTGTATGATATGATCCATCGATGCTACGAGGAGAGAGAAAACCTCCGCTGATGCTAGACCATAGGTGCACACGGATAGCTTCCTGCCGGCGTACTCTGCAAACTACGTGGACGAAATGTATACAGCATGGCAGAACGACCCGGACTCGGTCCATCGCTCGTGGCAGGAATACTTCAGAAGCCTAGACGATGGCCATGCCATGTTAGATACTTCATTCCTTCATCATCCGCTGCAAGGTCTAGCTTTTGGACAAGCAGCAATATCTCCAATCCCGATGGTGACTGCGCATCCACTGCCAAAGAACAAAGACTACGCAAATCTTGAACGGATGGTCCGCGCATACCGCGAGCTTGGCCATATGAAAGCAAACACTAATCCGTTAGAACTTCCGCACCGACGGCCTCCACCGAAGGAACTAGATCCTAGCTTCCATGGCTTTACAGAAGCAGATCTAGACCGAGAATTCGAGCTCAGTCCCGAGATATTACCTCATTTCGCATCCGCACGACAGTCCATGACCCTGCGCGAGATCATTCAAACCTGCGAGAACATCTACTGCGGCTCCATCGGCGCCGAGTATCAACATGTGGTTACTAGCCAAGAGCGCGAATGGATCCAAGCACGCATCGAGACCCCAACACCGTACCAGTTCTCCACGGAGGAGAAGAAGCGCATCCTCGACCGCCTGGTGTGGGCCACCGCGTTCGAAAAGTTCATGACGGCCAAGTTCCCCAACGGCAAGCGGTTTGGACTCGAGGGCGTCGAGAGCCAGCTCCCAGCACTCAAAGCTGTGATCGACGCGTGCGCAGACAACCACGGCGTCCGCAACGTCATCTTCGCCTGCTGCCATCGCGGGAAGCTCAACGTGCTCAGCAACGTGGGCCGCAAGCCCAACGAGCTCATCTTCGGGGAGTTCGCCCCGGACGCGACATCGCGATACCCGATCCCCGGCGACGTCAAGTACCACATGGGGCTGAACCACGAGCGCGAAACCCCCGCCGGGAATAAGGTGAACATCTCGATCCTGCCCAACCCGTCGCATTTGGAGTCCCAGAACACGCTGGCGCAGGGCATGGCGCGCGCGCTGCAGCACCAGAGCGGCGGCGACACGGCGTCCACGCTGGTGCTGAACAGCCACACCGACGCGGCGTTCGCCGGACAGGGCGTCGTGTACGAAACGCTGGGGCTGGCCGGGCTCAAGTCGTACGGGACGGGGGGCACCATCCACCTGCTCATCAACAATCAGATTGGGTTCACGACGGACGCGGAGTCGGCGCGGACGTCGCCGTATGCCTCGGACATTGCGAAGAGCATCAATGCGCCGGTTTTCCACGTCAACGCCGATGATGTCGAGGCAGTGGTCTTCCTGTGTAAACTGGCTGCGGCCTACCGAGCCGAGTTCCGCAAGGACTGCTGGGTGGACGTGATCTGCTATCGGCGGCGCGGACACAACGAGATGGACCAGCCCGCGTTCACGCAGCCGCTGATGTATGAGCAGATCGCGAACAAGGTCCCACAGCTGGAGCTATATGTGGCCCAGCTCGTCAAGGAGGGGACTGTCACGCGCGAAGAGGCACAGCAGATGGAGCAGGACGTGTGGAAGAAGCTGACCGCCAGCTTCGAAAACAGCACCGGTCCACAAGCCCTGGAGAGGGAGTATCTCACCGAGCCATGGCGGCACCTGACATCGCCGGAGGAACTGGCTCGCAATGTGCTCCCCGCGCAGCCCACCGCAATCTCCAGAAGCGTCGTCGACACCGTCGCCCGGAAACTGGGGCTCCCCGATGAACCGTTCGCCGTGCACAAGAGCCTCCAGCGGATCCTGCAAAGGCGCCAGCAGAACCTGATCGAAGGCCGCGACATCGACTGGGCCACCGCCGAGGCGCTCGCGATGGGCAGTCTCTGCCTGGAAGGCCACCACGTGCGGGTGTCCGGCCAGGACGTCGAGCGCGGCACATTCTCGCAGCGCCACGCGGTGCTGCACGACCAGAAGACGGGGGCGACCTATACGCCGCTGGACGATCTGAGCGTGGACCAGGCGCGCTTCACGATCGGCAACTCGCCGCTGAGCGAGTATGGCGTCATGGGCTTCGACTACGGATATTCCTGCATGTACCCGGACGCGCTAGTGATGTGGGAAGCGCAGTTTGGCGACTTCGCCAACACCGCCCAATGCATCGTTGACCAGTTTATTGTGTCTGGCGAGAGCAAGTGGTTGCTGCGCTCGGGTTTGGTCCTGTCGCTGCCGCATGGGTTCGACGGCCAGGGGCCGGAGCACTCGTCCGCGCGAATGGAGCGCTTCTTGCAGCTGTGCAGTGAGGATGGACGCTTCTTCCCGTCCGAGGAGAAACTGCAGAGACAGCATCAGAATGCGAATATGCAGGTCGTCTATATGACGACCCCGGCGAACTTGTTCCACGTGCTGCGACGCCAACTGCACCGGTCGTACCGAAAGCGTGAGTTTTCATACCTTTCTCCTGGATGAGATGCTAAGGCTGGGCAGCGCTGGTCATGTTCTTTTCCAAATCCCTCCTGCGCCACCCGATGGCCAAGTCGAACATTGAAGACTTCACCGGTGATTCTAAATTCCAGCCGTTGATCGCGGATCCTGCGGTCTCAGACCCCTCGACGATCAGGAGAGTCATCTTTTGCACTGGCCAGGTGTATATGACTTTGGCGAACTGTCGCGAGCAGCATGGCATCACAGACACGGCCATTGTCCGCATTGAGCAGCTGCATCCGTTCCCGTGGACAGAGACCCGGGACAATCTACTGCAATATTCAAACGTTGAAGATGTGGTCTGGTGCCAGGAGGAATCCCTGAATGACGGAGCCTGGTCGTTTGCTCGAACACGCCTCGAGACGATATTCGATACGACATCACAGCACAAGGGCCGTCGCGTTCGGTTTGCAGGGCGGGCAGCAACGCCCAGTGTTGCAACTGGCTTTATGAAGGAACATCGTGCGCAGGAGGCGGCGTTGGTGAAGGAAGCCTTTCAACGGGGGTAGGATGCGGACAGGCAGGCCATATACAAAGGTCGGCGGTATTCGCATTATGGCATTGTTCGAGATCGTGCTGGTTGACAGCTCCCAACTCTAGACTATACTGGACTTAAAAGAGAAAAGCAACGGCATGTCTATGCCTTTAGCATTGATGTATTCCATTTATTTCAATAGGATGCACAAATGCTATGCAGAGAATTAGATGACCAAAAGAAGACGTCCTAACCACGAATTGAACTCCAAACCATCATGCCCAGACTTTTGATTTTTGTACCGGCCACATATCGTCCACCCAACAGATCATAGCAAGGCTCATATAAGCGTAAACAATAAAAGAAGCGGCATTTCAGCGTTGAATTTCAGCGTTTAAGCGTAGAGCTTCTTGTCGTAGCTGTGGAGACCGTGGACGTTACCCTCGGCCATGGCACTGGCGCTTCTCATCTCGAAGCGGATCACGCCCTTGTTCACGTTGTCGTGGAGCTCCTGCAGGTTCCTGCAACCAAGCTCCTGCAGAGAGTGCTGCACACCAGTGACAAGGTAGGGAATGAACTTGGTGACGGAGCCGCGGTCCAGGACGGAGCCGGCCACACCCTGGGCGACCAGGACACCAGACTTCTCGGAGAAGTACCGGGCGGTACCAGCGTTGCTGGCCTTGCTGTCCTTGGCGCCGGCAGCAGCCTTCTTGTCCTCCATGGCCGCAATACTGCCCATACCACGGTAGGCCTTGACGAGCTGACCCTCGCTGCTGACAAAGTACTCACCGGGAGACTCGGTGGTACCGGCCAGGAGACCACCCATCATGATGGTCGAGGCACCCATGGCCAGACCCTTGACGATGTGGCCGATGTTCTGGATACCACCATCAGCGATGCAAGGAACGCCAAAGCGGGAGGCGAAGGAAGTAACGCTGCGCACAGCCGCAGCCTGGGGACGACCAACGGCCATGACCTCCTGGGTGATACAGGCGCTGCCGCTGCCCATGCCAATTCTCAGGCCATCGACACCGGCGGCAATCAAAGATGCAGCCTGTTCACGGGTCACGACGTTACCACCAATTACGTCGATCTCGGGGTAGGTCTTCTTGGCGTATTTGATCATCTCGATCTGGTACATACTGTTACCCTGGCTGCTGTCCAGGATGACAATATCAAGACCAGCCTCAACCAGGAGCTTCAGTCTGGTCTTGTCCTCCTCACGGGTACCAATTGAAGCAGCGCAGATCAGCTGCTTGGACTGGGGAAGCTTGGAGGCCAGAGGGTAGTGAAGGTTCTTCATCAGATCGCTGCGGGAGAGGAGAGAGACAAGGTTGCCGTTCTCATCCACAATGGGCAGCTTGCCCTTCTTGGAAGAACGGAGGACTTCGTTGGCCTCGGCCAGGGTGGTGCCGGCCGGGGCGGTAACAAGGTCGGTGGTCATGATAGCAGTGACCGGGTCGTCGAGGTTGGGGTGGAACTGGATGTCCCGGGAGGTAACCATGCCGACGAGCTTCGAGCGGAGAGTGCCGTTTTCTGCAAGCGAACCAATATTAGCATATGGCTCTAACGCATGACGAAAAGTGAAAAATTTCGAAATGCATAGGAGGTCAGATGTAATCCGTTTCTCTACAATGCAACTCTCGTTGCTCCAGTGGAACGAAAGTTATAATGAAGAAAGATGAAAATCATCATGATGAAGGGCAATGGTACGAGGGACAGCAGAGATATGATCCAACTTACCAGTCACAGGGAAACCACCGAAACCCCACTTGGCCTTCAGGTCCTTGGCCTCACCGACGGTAGCCTTGGGAGAAAGCACGACGGGGTCCAGGATGAAGCCGTTCTCGTATCTCTTAACCTTCCGCACCATCTCGGCCTGCGCCTCGGGAGAGCAGTTGTGATGGATGACACCCAGACCACCGAGCAGAGCCATGTGGATGGCCATGTTGTGCTCGGTGACGGTGTCCATGGGAGAGGAAAGAAGAGGAGCCTTCAAAGAGACACGCTTGGTCACAGGGGTGTCCAGAGTGACCTCGGAGGCAGGGAAGCCTGTGTTCCTCTGGATGAGTGAAATGCCACCACGAACGAGGCAGACATGCTCGGCTTACCGATGTAACCGGGAAGAATGAGGAAATCATTGTAAGTCAAAGCACCGTGCTTGTCAGAATCAAGCAGGGTATCCACATCCAGACCATCCCGGGTGGTGTAGTCCTTCTCCAGGACCTCCAGGGCCTTGGTGTAGTCCTGGATCTCAGCGTGCATGGCACGGCCAAGGGAGTCACCGTTGGAAATCGGCATTGTGTCGAGAGAGAGTATTCTATCTGAGAAAGACAGAAGAGGAAAATAATCAACAGATCGACGATAGAAACGTTCTGTTGATGGAGAAAGTCTTCCTTTCCCAAAGAAAAGAAAGAAGAAGAAAAAGAGAAAAAAGTTCGACGAGAAAAAATTTGGCTTTTGAGCGCGAAGCTGCCACTCGGCCGCTTTGGGTTTAGCGGAAGTTGCGGCCTCGCTTCTGAGTCACCGATTGGCCCGTAAACGAAACGGGGCCAGGCGGTGAAGCCGTGGTTGCCTGTTTGGGAGGAGGGGTTGCATTGCTGAATCAGCATCGCAGATTTTTCTGATCAATCTTTAGTAACGAATGAGTAAACAGTACTAGAGAGTCGTGTTGGTATGGATCCTTAGGTAGCTCAGGGGTGGTAAATGTCTACAGATAGGTCGATATCTCGTGATATACGGGATATGCTGTATAACTCCTGCGAGGATGACTGCATTACTGCATATGTAGGAGTAGGTATCGACTGATATCATGTGATCGACTGCTTCATGATCCTTCAGTGGCTCTCTGCAGGTCCAGCAAATCATACGCTTGGCATCATTAGTATATAGAAATGGATTCTTCTGATAACCCAGAGTGCCCACTTCTGGTTGCTTGGCTTTCAGGCCCTGAACCCAACAGGACCTTCGTCGGGTTCATTGCAACATCATGACGCCAGAGTGACCGCATGTAGACGGGCCTGTTTAAAGGCAAGCATGTCGCCATATGCGTCCAGGCCTTTGACTTGCAGATCATTGATCTTTCTTTCCAACACTAAGCCACAAACATTGACAACATGGCGTCTCAAATGGGCAAAGAGGGAACCTTTGAACGGCCGAAGGCTGCTCAAGCTCAGGAGAAACCGGGGTTAGTTCATAAATTATCCACTCCATCTTATGGACAAGAAACTAAACGGAATGCAAAGTCTGGAGAAACACATGGCGCCGTCCAGTGAAGCCACCAAGCTGGAATCATCCGGAACCTTTGTCGAGTATGTCGGGTCTGGCAAGCTGAAGGACAAGAAGGTCCTAATCACAGGCGGAGAGTATGCATCCATCCCGACGGACAGAATTCTGGTGGAAATGAAAAGAAAGGACTGACGATGCATAGCTCCGGAATTGGCCGCTCAGTCGCCGCGCTGATGGCAAGAGAAGGTGCTGACATCACCATCACCCATCTACCGGAAGAGAAAGACGATGCCGAGCAAACCAAAAAGCTGGTCGAACAGGAGAAACGGTCATGTCATCTCATTTCGGTCGACTTGAGCAAGCGTGAGAACTGCAAGAAGGTGATTGACGAGCATATTTCCAAGTAAGCCTGCGGCTGGTCATTCGGCAAATTGGCCTCGACTAACTACTACATTGGCAGGTTCCAAAAGTTAAACGTTCTTGTCAACAATGCCTCCAAACAGAACATGTGCAAGGACTTTGCGCAGATCGACCTAGATCAGGTTGAATCAACCTTCCAAACAAATATCATCCAGATGTTTGCCCTGACAAAATATGCTCTCCCGCATATGTCCAGAGGCGACTCGTAAGTGCATGCATGCTCACACAAGTCCGGGACGTCAAATCTAATTGCTTTAGGATAATCAACTCAACTTCGGTGGTGGCTTTCCGGGGAACTGCCGGAATGGTGGACTATGCAGCGACCAAGGGTGCTATTGTCTCGTTCACCAGAGCCTTGGCGCAGCAGTTGAAGCCTAAGGGCATCCGAGTCAATGCTGTGGCGTAAGTGTGTCAGTAGCGGGTATTCCTGGATCATGGCTAACTACTCTTCAGCCCCGGCCCAGTCTATACTCCTATTCAAGCGGATACTCGGCAAGCAGAAGATATGGAGGACTTTGGTGCCAAGTCGTCGATTGGTCGGCCAGGCCAACCTAGTGAAGTTGCAACCAGTTTTGTCTTTCTGGCTAGCAACGAAGCGTCGCTATTCTGTAAGTTTGGCCACCACAGATATGCAGATGCATCTTGGCAGTTTCTCACGAAGATACAGACGGACAGGTGATGCATTGTTACCCGCTCGGAGACTAGGTTTTGAATGCCATGAAATGCGGAATATGTGAAGGAAAAGTAATGATCGTCATGTCACTCATCAAAAGCACTGGGACAGTCGTTATGTACAATGTATCTATCGAGTATGAAAATCAACCGGCGGTCATCTCAATACATGAGCCAAGGTTTTGAAGCCGCCAGAGCTTTATCCCATCCGTGGTCATTGGACCATATGCCAATGCTCTCGACCTCGTCTTTTCCCAGTTTGAGACCGTTGTAGAGATGCTGCCTGAATCAGTCATGTGCCCACGGAGAGCAACGGCCCGTACAGCCAGCGAGGGAGGAGGGGGTTTCTCACAGGGAACAAGCCTTCTTTCGGACGAGGCCCGCATACTTGACCCTCGGGGGATTCCCAGCGGATATCATGCACCACCCGCTCATATGGGATACGCAAGACATAAACGAGAGGCTCATCTTTGAAGAAGTATTTAAGCGTATTTGGCACCTGAAATGCGGTGGAGAGGTGAATGAAGCCGGATTTCTCATCGATCTCACTGACGGGGAGGCGATCGGGTAAAGGTTCCCGCACCGGGGCGGTGGAGGGAATAATCTTGTAGACGTAGAAAGGTTCGACGTCGGTCATCTTGTCTATCGTGGCTGTGTTCTGGTGGTGACCGTGCAGGAGGAGAAATATGGAGATCCGGTGAGACTGGGGTTAAGATAAGAGAGATGTTAATATAGAGAAGATGGCGGAGGATTGTGGTACCCAAAGAGGACTAGTGACATGGACTTACATAAACGGCATTTACATCCTCGAATCTCCCTCACGACCGCATCTGCATGGTGCCGTGGTTGAAAGGGATTTCTTCGCAGCCACCAACCTATAATTGAAAGTCTATGGCCATCAGCCTTAGCCGGACAGCGGTAGTTGTGGGGTTGCGACGATGCGAGTGCAATTTTCCGCCCCTGGTAGGCCGGCAGTGACCGCAGTGGCTTGGATGAGATCATCATGAATGAATATAAAGAGGTGCTTTGGTGGCGGTTCCCTACTCTCAACTACTGAGGTCTAGGTGCAGAGTATTCGGCGTTTCTCTGGGTCTGTTATTGCAGCCTTACTCCGGAGCAGATTGGTCTTCAATGTTAACAGCACCTGAAACGCGATCGGCTTGTGTCGTCGCCGGGTAGATACTGATATAGTACAGTATACATCGTTCATGGGACTATGTATCTATCAAAACTATACCCCGTACCTGTCATACGCATGGAACAGTTTTCTCTTGAATCATGTCAATAACCTTGGCAGACTTCTGTGCACGTTCTGGATTTTTCCGTCAGATCGTGGGAAATGGGCCGACCGTGGGTCCATCTGCAATCGATGGATCCGATCGGAGATGGGCCCTTAGGGAAGAGGCACCACGATATCCTCATCCACCGATCTGAAGAGCCTCACTTTTTGGAGATTTAAGTGAAGGATTTGTGTAGGCAGAGCAGAAGAACTGATCGGATCACTACGGAGTAAAGATCCGGACAAAACGGTGGCTGGGCGATCGACGTCACGGGAGCCCAGCCATCTGTGGCGCAGGACCCTGATAGGCCGATAGAGCCCGCCATGCCCGATCGGGAGATTTGTTTGGGGCTGGGAAAAGAGTCGCTCTTTCCCCCGCCGCTCTTCTTCGGGCGAATCCATCACCATCACAATCACATCCACTACAATCAGTTTTATTCTCTCTCTCTCTTTCTCTCTTCCTCTCTTCCCCTCTCTTCGTTACCTTATTCATCTTCTTCCTTGTGCATTCGTATCGCGATTCGACTCCTCCATCCCTTTCGGCATACGCTTTCTTCCTCCCTTGTTGCTATATCAACCCGATTCCGCCTGCCAATTCCTCCCGTTACCATAGGCCGATGCTCTCCCTCCCTTGAAGCAGCATTCCATCCCACTCTCACACGGCGCTCCCACCTACTCACTCGGCTGAATCACTGCTTCCAGGCAGTTATGCGGCCGGTTGTCGCACAGACTCTTTCAGCTCTTCCGGCTTTTACATTCCTGTACACAAAATCGCACCAGTGATGTCAACCCATCCAGCATCTCTCCGACGTGCGCAGACCGATCTCCCGTCCGAAACATCCAGTCCGCTCCGTCATGGATCAACCGCCTCCACGGCTTCTTCCGTTTACACCATGTCATCCGCTTCCTTCGCCCCCAGCCGTACAAGCACCGTCTCCTCCACCGTCTCGATTGGTTCCACGCCCAGCATTGGCCATAGACGAGGGAAAAGCGAGCTGAATGCCATGGTTGCGGAATCCATCCCTGGAGTTGGCGCGAAGGAGCTGAGCCGCTCGACCAACGCTGGAACGACATACGAGAGTGTCCGTCGTTCCCTGCGACCGCTGTCGCAGGCGCCGAACGCGTCGCCACCTCCTACCAAACACTCCATATATCGCCATACCCGAAGTCAAACGGCCGATAATCCTCAGTTTTGGAAGGAGAATCGACCGCAGACGCCGGAACCCCGCCCACTGGCGAATCCAGAAGCCGATTCAATTAAAGAAAGAGGTCTATATGATGCGCCATCACCGTCACCTACTTCACCTTACCATCATCCCTCCCACACTGCATCGCCGCTGACCCGGTCGCCCGTGAAATCGCATCATTCTCACAGTTTGTCCAACTCACACCCACCTCCCCTCACCGCCGCCTTGAGTGCACCTGAGCTGGAAACGTTGAAAAAGTCTTCCACTGGTCACCTACGCACGCTTTCCAAATTTGCTCAATCGGGAGAGACAGACGAATTTGCCATCGATAGCCCGTCTGTCGTAGGCCTACTGGGACGACGGCGCCTGAAGCGCGCCGACTCGGTGGCGGGTAAAAATGGCCCAGCTGTCGCGCGGAGGACCAATGCATCATCATGGGCCGCTGGGAACTGGATGGATAAACAACGACAATTCATCCAGGCCTATGAGTACCTCTGCCATATTGGAGAAGCCAAGGAATGGATCGAGGAAGTGATCCAGAAGCAAATCCCGCCCATCGTCCAACTTGAGGAAGCCCTTCGCGACGGCGTCACCCTTGCAGAAGTCGTTCAAGCGATGTACCCAGATCGTCCTCTTCGGATTTTTCGACATCCGAAACTACAATATCGTCATTCGGACAACATCGCCTTGTTCTTTCGTTTCCTGGACGATGTCGAGTTGCCTGAGCTCTTTCGGTTCGAGCTGATCGATCTATACGAGAAGAAGAATCTCCCCAAAGTCATTCATTGTGTCCACGCCCTGTCCTGGTTATTGTTTAAGAAGGGACTGGTCGACTTCCGCATGGGGAACCTGGTCGGTCAACTGGAGTTTGAACACCATGAACTTGAGCAGACACAAAAGGGCCTCGACAAAGCGGGAGTCAGCATGCCCAGCTTCTCTGGAATGGCTGCGAATTTCGGCGCAGAGCCAGAACCAGAACCAGAACCAGAAGAGTCCGAAGAAGATCGAATTCACCGCGAGCTGTACGAAAATGAAGGTTCAATCAGCGACTTTCAAGCACAGATCAAGGGTGCCATGCTACGACTCAAGCTAGGCAACTTGATGAACGACTTGTGGGACTTTGAGCCTTTCTTGATCGATCTTCAATCGAGGCTTCGGGGAGATTGGACCCGCCAGATAGTCCAATACCGCCTGGATATGCGATCCTTTGCTGTAAACCTGCAAGCGATCAGCCGAGGGTTCCTCGCTCGAACACGGCAGCAGGGCGACCTTCAGACGTGCGAGGCTCTGGGAGATGATGTGTTACTGTTACAGAGTCTCATCCGAGGAGCTAAAGCCAGAGCGGAGATCGACTATGTCAGAAGCCGGGTGCGAAAGGAAGAATCTGGAATCAAGAGAATCCAAGCCGCCCTAAGGGGTGCACTGCAGCGAATGAAGGTTTCAGAACAATGGGAAGAAACTCGTGGCGCAGAGCACGATGTCACCAATCTCCAGGCTCTGATCCGAGGCGCTTTCTTACGACAGCGGATGGGCGTCCAGTATGAGGAAATCGACAGCGCTCAGAATGATGCCGAATTGCTGCAGGCGGCAATCCGGGGAATGATGGCGCGGAAATCTATTACCCGTATGGGAGAATTGCTCGCTCGAGAGGAGCCTTCCATTGTGTCTATCCAAGCGGCTGCGAGGGCGTTGGCAACCAGAACGCAGCAATCACAACAAGCGGCAGCTCTTCAGAAGACTGCGGATGGATGCAGAGCTCTGCAAGCCATGATCCGTGGCCGTGCTGTGAGGGCAAACATCAAGTCTCTTCGTGAAAGCTTAGCTCAACATGTGCCAGTTTGCATCAGCCTTCAGAGTACCGCGCGAGCCAACGCTGTTCGGGCCTTTTTGGAATCACAGCGTCAGGGTCTGGCCAAAGAAAGTGGCGCAATCCTTGACCTGCAATCCACGGCGCGGGGTCTTATCTTAAGAAGACGTCTGGAGGCCGACTCGGAGGCGTTGCAGAGGGAGGAACTTACTATCATTGACCTCCAAGCCCTCGCTCGGGCAGCCATCCTACGGATTGAAGTTGGGGGGATCCTTGAGCAACTTGACGAATGTGACGACGAGGTCAGCAATTTGCAGGCGCACATCCGAGCAATGCTCATTCGCGTTGAAGTCGGGCAGACTCTAGCCGATCTTGCTGCCGAGGAAGACGTTATTACCGACTTCCAATCTCGCATCCGTGGGCATCTTGTACGATCGAAGTTTGAGGAGCGACGCCGTTATTACCGCGAGAACATGGAGAAGGTGGTCAAAGCCCAAAGTTTTGTCCGAGGCAGAATCCAGGGCCAAGCATACAAGAGCCTCACCAGCGGTAAAAACCCACCAGTTGGTACTGTCAAAGGATTTGTTCATCTTTTGAACGACAGCGAATTCGATTTCGACGAGGAAGTTGAGTTTGAACGGACAAGAAAATTGGTCGTTCAACAGGTCCGGCAAAATGAACTCGCAGAGCAGTACATCAGTCAACTGGATATCAAGATTGCCCTGTTGGTTAAGAACAAGATCACCCTCGACGAAGTTGTCAAGCACCAGAAGCACTTTGGTGGCCACGTTGGGAGCCTTTTACCAAACCGGGAAATCTCGTCCAAGGATCCGTTCGACCTCAAGGCATTGAACAAGACGTCACGGAGAAAGCTTGAGCACTATCAGGTCTTTTTCTTCCTCCTCCAGACACAGTCCCACTACCTGGCGAGGCTCTTCAAGCGGCTCCGTGAGCTTAACACTTCGGAGAAAGAATATGAGAGAATCCGACACCTGATGATGGGACTCTTTGGCTACTCTCAAAAGCGACGTGAAGAATACTACCTGGTCAAGCTGCTGGCTCGGTCTGCGCAAGAGGAGGTCCAGAGTTTCGACTCACTCCATGAATACTTGCGCTGCAATTCATTCTGGAACAAGCTTTTTGCGTCGTATATCAAGTCACCTCGGGACCGGAAATTTATGCGCGACGTCCTGGGGCCACTTGTGCGCGAGAACATCATTGACAACCCAGACTTGGACCTCGAGAGCGATCCAATCCAAATCTATCGGTCGGCCATTAACAATGAGGAGCTTCGCACTGGTCGAAGAAGTCGTCGCCGTCCTGATATCCCGCGAGAAGAAGCAATCAGAGATCCAGAAACGAGAGCCACGTTTATCCAAAACCTGCAAGAGCTTCGAGACATTGCCGACCAATTCTTTACCGCGCTGGAGGAAGTTCTTTATCGCATGCCCTTTGGTATTCGGTACATCGCGAAGTCAATGTACGAAAGTCTTCTCTCGCGGTTTGCTAACGAAGATCCCGGCTTTATTCTTCAAACTGCCGGACACTGGGTATGGAGGAATTATTTCCAACCTGCCTTGATGGAGCCCGAGAAGTATGGCGTTGTCGATCGGGGTATGACACAAGAGCAAAAACGAAACCTAGGCGAGATCGCCAAGGTGGTGGCGCAGGTAGCATCTGGACGGCTGTTCGGGGCGGAAAACGTCTATCTTCAGCCTTTGAATGCTTATATTGGAGAGTCGATCCAGCGGTTGGGCCAGATCTGGGGTAACTGTAAGTACTTTCTTCTTAGATGGCATGTGTATTAAAGCTAACACGTCGCAGTGGTTTCTGTACAAGACGCAGAAGAATATTTCGACATCGACGAGTTCAACGACCTTTACGCCAAAACGAAGCCTACGCTGTATATCAAGATGTCGGACATTTTCTCCATTCATCAGCTTGTGGCGGGTGAGATTCATTACATCTGTCCTAACCCCGACGACATCCTGAAGGAGATTATCCGTGACCTTGGCAATGTCAAGTCCAACGAGAGTGAATTGATGAGTGTCAACTCCTCTGAAATCAATCTCACACTGAATCCTAAGCTTGCACAAGTGGAAGGTAAGAATGCACTGTTGCATATTGAATTATGATGGAAATTAACTAACTTGTGATAGACCCCGAGGCAAATGTGAAGGCCTTGTTCATGGAAACAAAACGTTGTGTCCTTTATATTATCAGGGTCCAAACAGGAGCCAACTTGATGGAGATCATGGTGAAGCCCCCGACAGAGGAAGACGAGGAGAAGTGGATGACGTTGGTCCGGGACGAGCTGAGTGCAAACAATACACGACGCAGCGCCTATTCCGAGGCCAATACGCTAGTCGATATTGCATCCATGAGCTATACCGAGCTCAAACAAACGGCGCTGGAGAACATCCTACAACTCGAGCGGACCGGCAAGATCCGTCGGGATAACCACTACCAGGATCTGCTAAATGCTATCGCCATTGATATCCGGACGAAACACCGCCGCAGAATTCAGCGCGAACGGGAACTCGAAAGTGCACGAATGACGCTCACGCGACTGAACGACCAGGCTAGCTGGCTGGAACAGCAGCTCAAGACCTATAATGACTACATTGAACAGGCGATGATCACGTTGCAAAATAAAAAGGGGAAGAAGCGATTCCTCATGCCATTTACGAAGCAATGGGACCACCAGCGTGAACTACAGAAGTCCGGCAAGGTGTTTAAGTTCGGATCTTACAAGTATTCCGCACGGAACCTGGCCGATAAAGGAGTCCTCGTCCACTGGAAGGGTTACACGGAACGTCAATGGGACCGAGTCGACCTGACCATTTCCAGCAACGAAGTTGGCGTCTTCACCATTGATGGTAGCAGCGGACCGATGATGGTCCCTGGCGCCAATGCGCAGGTTCCGCTGGATGACCTCCTCCAGGCGCAGTTCAATAACATGCAATTCCTGGACTTCTTCGACGGTAACCTACGGGTCAACGTCAACCTTTTCTTGCATCTGATTATGAGGAAGTTCTATAACGAGTGATGTCGGGAAGGTCTTTGTTTGTCAAGCGATTCTCTTTCTCCTTCTTTTTGTTTTGTCTTCTTTATTTCTAGTATTTTATTTCCGTTTCCTTTTCCTTTTTTGATTCGACATTTTCTCTTTCCCCGTGATATCCCTTCGAGTTAATGATCTGTCGGGCATGAGACCAAAAGTATCCAACATGCCTTGTGTTGGATTGATGCATGGAGATTGTTCAGCTTATGTATTTTTGTTCGATGACCTCGCATTGCTTTTTTAGTTCTTTCTCTGTGACGAATTTTAGACGAGACTCTGTATGTACGTATCCGGAATATGAATGGGACATTCCCTCTATTATTATTGTTTCTATCTGGATGCTGTGTACTCCGTAAAGAGGACGTCATCGCCCGTGAGAGGGTCAGGGGCAGCCACGTGACTGTTGGGCTCCAAACGGCCAGCTGGAGCAGCCGGACGGCCCTTTGATCTCCCGCCTCTCTCCGTCATCTCTTGTTCTCCCTTCGACTGCTCGTCGTCCCTGCCTCTGTGTCAATTGGCATTGTGCTGCGAATCCCTCCTTCGCCATGGACTTCAACAACCTCAAGGATCAGGTCAGCAACCTGACCCTGTATGATCTCAAGGCGGGTGTTCGCAAGGTCCAGAATGGTGAGTTCCGACCCCGACTATAAACCATCAGCCTTCCTCGGCTTTTGCAGCATGGCTCTGCATACGGTGATGGATGAAGTCTTCGGATTAACAAAATCTAGCGGTCATGAATTATACGGAAATGGAGGCCAAGGTTCGTACCGCAGTCCCGCCACTGTTGTTCTCCCCTTGTTTTTCCTAGCATAGAAACACAAGGCCGATCGCATGGGTTCCTGTATGCGATGTCGCTGACCTTCTCCAGGTCCGGGAGGCCACAAACAATGAGCCGTGGGGTGCCTCGACGACACTGATGCAGGAGATCGCCAACGGAACTCACAGCTAGTCAGTAATCTCCCGCGTTATCCTGTCGCATACTTCGATGAAACCGCATCCTAACATGCTTCGTCCGATCTAGCCAATTACTGAATGAGATTATGCCTATGATCTACAGACGATTCACAGACAAGTCCGCGGAGGAGTGGCGACAGATCTACAAGGTGCGATGCGTTGAGGCTATTTGTGTTGTCGTATGTCACTGACGTCTGGTCGCCACTACAGAGCCTCCAGCTTTTGGAATTCCTCGTGAAGAACGGATCCGAACGCGTGGTTGACGACGCCCGATCCCATATGTCTCTCCTTCGAATGCTGCGTCAATTCCACTACATCGATCAAAACGGGAAGGATCAGGGAATCAACGTGCGCAACCGGTCGTCCGAACTGGTCAAGCTCCTTGGGGATGTCGACATGATCCGCGCAGAGCGCAAGAAGGCCCGGGCCAACCGTAACAAGTTTGGTGGCTTCGAAGGAGGGTCGCACATGGGCGGGGGTATGTCGAGTGGCCGCTACGGAGGCTTTGGTAGCGATAGCATGTCGTTTGGAGGATACAGCGGAGGCGTTTTCGGTGACGGTGGCGGCTTCGGAGGGGCTCCCAGCGACTTCCAAGATTCCGGCCGGCGCAACAACCGGTTCGACGAGTACGATGAATATGACGAAGCCGATGCAAGCCCCCCGCGGCGAGGCACTAGCCCTCCGCGCGCGCGGCGCGAGACCAAGCCGGAGCCTCCGAAGGCACCCGAACCGGATCTTTTCGACTTTGGCGAGGAAGAAACCGTCACCACAAGCTCCACGGCTGCTGGGAAGAAACCTGCGGGTAGCAGCAACGGCTTGGATATCCTCGACTCTACGCCGGCTGCCGGCGCTGCCGATGACGACGAATTTGACGACTTCCAATCCGCGACTCCCGCACCGGCGGCGCCCACCTCGAACCAGTTTGCTATCCCCCCGCCAGCTTCCACTGTCAGCACGACCTCGAGCACTCAGTTCGCGGCTCCGAAGCCGGTGTCGGGCACCCAAGGATCCAACCTGAATGGTCTTGTTGGATTTACCTCCATGACGCCAACCCCGTCGTCGAGCGGCATGGCTTCCCCTACCCTTTCTCAGAGCTCCATGATGGCTCCCCAGCAGCAACAGCAGAAGCCCGCCGCACCGAAGCCCAGCGGTTTCCAGGCGGCCACTCCGAACTACTTCACCTCTGTCTCCGTGGGCAGCCCTCAACCTTCCTCGGCTGGGCGTGTCGAATCACCGACCCGGGATGCCGTCCACTTCGTCCTTCACCTCTGCCACCACGACCTCCTCTGTGGGTGCAAAGCCTGCGGCGTCCAAGTCCTCGGGCGATGCGTTTGGATCTTTGTGGTCGACGGCCAGTGCCAGCGCGGGACTGCAAAAGTCATCCTCCAATGCCAGCAAAGGACCCAACTTGGCGAGCATAGCCAAGGAAAAAGCCAGCGCCGGCATCTGGGGCACTCCCGCTACGTCCAGCCTTACGTCTGCTTCTCCATCGCCGTCATTGGCGCAGGGCAGCGCATCTCAGCAAGGGTCCAAGACGGGAAGTTCGGGACTTGATGACTTGCTGGGTTAGTCGTTGGTTCCGATATTACTCTCTTCTATTCTTCCCTCTTAGCTATTCGACTTTTACTACCGATTTGTTTGATTTACCCTTCTGTCTATTTCGTCGTTGCTTTTCCTCATGTCGTAGGCCCGACCTCTTCCTGCTGTTGTTCTTTTTGGTGTGTATATCTCGAAGGGGTTGGGGGTATTTAGCTCCCTAGACTTCTTTTAGCCGTTTCCACTAGCATTGGTGTCGAGGGCATGGAAAATAATGATCAATTCGAGCTGGCGTTCCCATAGGCCATGTTTCTCGTTGACTGTCTGCCTAGAATTCAGCGCTGGGCTGAACCTGACACCCCAGGCTCGTATTTCCCGAGGTCGATCACCTCCGTGCAGGGCAAAGTGTGCTCGCAATGTGACATTAACTTTGTGGATGGAGGGAGACTAGACCATACGAACTGTCGATCGCCGCTATATGTTGAAATCCTCCAACCATAAATCCGTCGGCGTCCCCAATGATAGGGGTCTGCTGCTGCACCTGGTTGCCTGGGTCAGGGCACTCCGTGCCAGCTGCCGGATATATATCGCTGTTCTCCCAGCGATCGCTATACCCTCATATCCCATCCACACCGATAGATGAGTCCGAGCCACAATGCTCCCCGGTTACACCGATACAAACCAGCTCCTCTCCCGCCAGGACGGCAACAATTCCATCTACGGCCAGTGCTGGGGAGGCCTGGGCCAGGGCGAATGCTTCCCCGCGAACCGATGTATGCGCCGTCCATCCCTCTCGCGCTGATAGATAGATGGTCGGTCGTCTAACAGCGCCAGGCGCGGGCATCCTCTACACCAACCAATGCACCGAGAGCTCCAACCACGTGGTGCGTCGCTACCTCAGCCGGGGAACCGTATAAGTAGTGTCTAGGCGAACTGACAACATCGGCAGTGCTGTCTCAACCGCGAATGCACCGTGCCACAAGGCACAGGCTGGTGCAAGGACCGCTCCAACCAGACCTGTGCGGATGGGACGTTCATCTCGGGGACACAGGTATACATCCTCTCTGTACCACTGCATGGATATGAATGCGTACTGACCGATGCAGGCCCCCTGGCCCTGTCCCGGTGGGAACTCCATTCAATGCTGCGTTAAATACGCCGACATGGCCAACGGCACATCATCGACGACAACATCGTCGACGACGACTTCCGCTACCGCGACCGGCACTTCTACCCCCGTCCGCGAGACCGGATCGAGCGGTCTGACGGCCGCGCAGATCGGCGGGATAGTCGGCGGGGTGGTTGGATTCGTCGTTGTTGTGGCCGTTGCGACGGGGTGGGTTCTCTGGCGACGGCGGCGGAGGAGAAAGTGCGAGGAGGGCGCGCCTGGCGGTCTGTCGGATGATCAGGGCGGTAAAGACGCTGGTGCTGCGGTGGACACGGTGGAGCAGAAGGAGGAAGGAGGGGAGGGTGGCGGGAGGAAAGACGATGTGCCGATCTTGGATGGCCAGATGCGACAGGAGATGGATGCGCAGGGGCGGGCGGCACTGTATGAGATCGGGACCGGGGGGCAGGATGTGAAGGGGGCGGTTCAGCGCCGCGGCGTGTCGGAGCTGCCTGGAGAGATGGGTGTTGCGGAGTTATCTGGAGAGCGGGAGAGGTGAGGATGAATCATGGCCTACGGACTGGAACGATTGATGATTGAATGCAGTTGCTGTACAGTGATACATTGCATACATCTAATGCATTATGCGACGCCGACGCTGAAGTACTCAAAAACACCCATGTAGTTATTTACAGCCCACTCGATTGTCCTCATAACCATGACAATGTCACTCTGCTTCCTCGTCGCAGCCCCTAGCACGCGGTGCTAGCGCGACCGGCCCATTCCCATCCTCGTCCTGCTGAGCCAGGACGGTCATCGTGAATTCTATCATACTTATGTATTGTATGGATGCATGCATGCGAAAACTCCTTCCGACCGAAGTCCATCGTGGTGTGATATAGGGTTGAAGTTCCGGCCTGGGAACTAAAACTGGCGAGAGAATAGAATATAAGAAATGATAAATAGAAATAAATGCTTGTTTGCGCACGGAGGCGCGCCTTAGCTCGTACACCGTACGAGGTTGTCCGCGCGAAGACCCTCACGTCGTTGTGGTGGCGTTGTTGCTGGTGGCTTGGCTCTCCGTTGACGGCTTTTCCAGCACAGGCATAGGCGACTGCGGCGTTCTGGAGGCGGTCTCCGCACTGTGCTCGGTCGCACCATTAGGAATATGGGCCGTTTCGGCGGCGTCGTGCTCCTGCGTTGGGGTGATCGCTTGCTGGGAATCGGTCGAGTCAGGGCTGATTTGGTCGGCATCACCGCCGTTCAGCGACGTCAGCCCGCCCTCAATGTCACGAAGAAGTCGGACGAACTCCTCTGGTACCAAGCCGCTCTCCCCCGTGCGAGGATCTTCAGCTACCAACCATCCTTGACCGTGTCGGTAGGAGACAAAGATCACCTGTCCCTCGGTCAGGGGAAGCTCATTCTCATGCTCTCGCGTGAAATCGAACAGAGCGACCGCCTTGCCGTGCATCTCTTCGTCCGGACATCCCACTGCAAACTGGAAGTCTCGGGAGTACCGGTTACCGGTGTATTCATCCTCGGAATCGAAGTCCGCTTCATGGCCGTATCCTTGGTAACCGCCGTACGAGTCCATATGCGAGTATCGACTTTCGTTAGCCGGGTACGTGACATACTCTCCGCCGGGTCCGTCTTCGGCGGCGTTCTCATCATTCACGTAGTAGGTCTCGCTACCGTCCACGTTGGTGCCAACAAACGTCCCGCGATCCTCTCCCAGGTGGCCCAGCGCATCATGGCCACCACCAGAACTTCGACCACGGTGCCCATTCAGATCAGTCCCGGTGGACTTCATTTTCCGGTGACGGGGAGTAGAAAATACGGGGCTGTGCAGATCCTCATCCTCACTGTATGGGGGACCGTCTCCAAAGGACATGGCCGGAAGTTGCTGGTGACCGTAGCTGTGGTCCGTGCTCCAAGGTCCGGTGGACCACTGGCCGCGCGACGTGTCCCAGGGCGCTGGAGGATCCGACAAACGTCGTTGTTCGCTCGCCGGGGTGGACACCCCGGAGGCACGCGGAGGCAGCGGGCCGTAGTGGAGCGGATGGATGGGTGGGTAGGCAAAGTCGCGGACGAGAGCGTATGGCAAGCTGGAGTGGAAGATGGGAAACACATGCGACCCGGGGCGCGACCGATTTTGGGAAATGAAGGACACATTGGAATGAGTCGAAAGGCGGTCTTTCGCGTAGGAGGAAGATCGTCCCCGACTTTGACGTCTCACATCGGTGTCTGTGACGATGGGGGGAAGATACGTTGTGTCGGGGGCGGCGACATTCTGCTGCGACGACGGCGGGGAGGTGGTGGTTGTGGAAGCCATGGTTGCCTTCGTCGGCTTTTCTTCAGGCGGAGAATCAAGAGAGGAGATGCGAGTTCAAGAGAGGTTATTATCGGGGGTCCAACGCGGTTACGCCCAGTTTGGCATCGCGATTGTTCAGCCACAACTCCCCTCGCTGTGTTCTGCAGGCGGTCTGATCTTGGAGTACCAACCGACAGGTCCCAATGATGATCGACAAGCAAAGGGGCGCGACTGTAGGAACAGCGATGGACGAAGTAATCCCGGCTGGGAGGGGTACACTACACTAGGCGACTCCTTGCGTGGAAGCACGGCTGGGGCTGGGGACAGTAGAGTTCGGTGGTAAGGCTGGTTTTGTTATGTTTTTTCCAGGACCCCGAATCGAGCGGTCGAAATTAGACGCCCGACAAGCGAGATGGAGTTCAATGGGGTGTCTCTCGCAAAGAGGCCAGAGTAATTGAGATGCACGGTGGAGGGGGAGGACCTGCAGCCGGACGATTGGAGAACGATGGTGGTTAGGTAGGTAGTTGAGGAGGGGTTGTCGTCGCAGGGTCGGTCGGTATGTGCGAAGGCGACAATCAAGGAGAGCTCCGAACGAGATGGGAGCCAATAATCGGAGGGGTTAGACGGTCCCGCGCGCTTGACGGTTCGAATGAAGGAAGAATTTGAGGGTAGGGTGAAATAATGGGCTGTATGTAGGTACACCGGGTTCTAAATATAGCAACGGCGGTAGAGCGCCACAGGTCAGAGAGATGAAGAGGAAGGTCAACAGAGGGAGAGGTGCATGCCCACCACCGGGATGGAATGCGGTGCTTCTCGTGGTCGAGTCGAGGGGTGGAGAGAAGGAGAAGGAAAAAGAGGCTTACCGGAGATTACCTACTACCTTGGTCCAACGTAGAGGAATAGTTAAGGATCAGCGAGGCGCAGCCGGGGTGGGGGTGGTATTTGGTCAGTAGTAGTATTGTATGAATGCGACGAGCGGCTGAAGATGGTGGTGGTGATGGTGGTGAGAGGTGAAGAACAGAGTAACAGTAACACCGACTATGTGGTGCAATGACAACGGCATGGACAAGCGCCCCTCCTGGCGAGGATTCAGTCGCGGTGGATTCGTAAAGAGAGACTCGACAACGTCCGACGTGCTCTTCGTTTCTTTTTTGCCGATGTCGCCCCACGTGACCGTCCACGCGTGGCCTAGCGTGTTTCACCATCCTGACTAACTTCCTGATTGGGCAATGGTCTACTCCTCTGTAACTCCTACTACAACATCCTTACGATCAACTTCAGGAGTCACTCCCACAGTCTCATTCGGTTCTATCGCAGATGCAATACTGAACCTGTCCTCCCTTCCACGTCACTCTACAAACACTTCTTCACTATACAATGAATTCTCACATTTTCATACAGCTCTCACGAGGACCTGCCCCGCTTGCATACAAACAAAGCGCTTGTTGACGTCCCCCTATCCCGCCCCACCAAAGCCCCCGTTCTCCTTACGAATGCATGTTGGAGGGACAGCCGCTCAGCTCAACTGTCTTCGTCATCGTCAAAAAGGTCGTGACCGTGACGGTAGGCAACCCCTGGGGAGTCCGCGATGGAGAAGGAGAAGGAGATGGAGATGGAACCGCGACGGAAGAGCTACTCCCAATGTTTGGAGCAGCATGATACCCCATGATTTCGGCAAACTGAGACGGGATGGACGCTCGGTTCAGATCCTGGCCTTGCGCGTACCCGACCGGAACACGCATATAAGTTTGCACATGGTTCGCCACCTCGTCATCCACATCCACATCCATACAGGTGGTGTAGATTTCCGCTTTCCCTTGGGGCAATGCCGGGTCGGCACGAGGAGCGGTCGGCCAGTCCCACACCCAGTACAGCGTGTAGGGCTTCCCAGACGGTGCGTCTTCCGGCACTGCGACGTCGGTTTGGCACCACAAGTCTGCCCCCATCAGCTGGTCTGCCTCATGGGGGAACTCGGCCTGGCGCTTTTGCGAGATTTTCCCACTGTTGATCTGGTAGCACCGGCCATCATCAAAGTTCTGCACAGTCAGGAGCACCCCACGTCGGTCCCCGCCCGTTCCGTCCTTGTTCCACACCTTGTGCACGTCCAGGAGCTTCTCGTCCTCCTTCGGTTGAGTCGTCCCATAGACGTAGATGGTTCCGCGGTTGTGGGGTTTGCCCGGCTGGTTCTGGGGTAGAGTTACATGTCCGTTTTCCTGGAAACGAAGCGCGATGGCAGCACCGGCCGATGCCCGCAGCCGGGGGCTCCCCTTGTTCTGAACTTGCTTTCGCTGAGAGGCTTTGCAGAGGTTATCGGACCGTAAAATCTTAGTTGCGTTGGGCCGGCCGTTCGGTGGGATTAGGTTGGTCATATCGGTGTCGCTGAACCCAGCTTGTGTGCGAGGCACGTAGCCTCTGGGGTATCCGGGGTCGCCAACGAATGTCCCGTTCGGCGCGATCACCATGAGCTGTTCGACCCATGAATGCGCGTCCACAGCAGCTGAGAAAAGTAGGATAACCAATACGAGCAGCTCCAGGCTGCGTCTGGAAAGGTCGACCATGGTGTTGCTTGGTTGGATGGTTGCTGATTTCTTCGACGGCGAGTAGCGGTCAGAGAGCGTAGGTAGGTAGGCACACCGGCCAGCGGAGTGATATTGGACACAGGAATTGTTCTTTTCAAGTCAGTCGAGATGGTTACACCGGGATGATCAAGTGGGAATAGGTGGAATCAACGGACTCTTTTATATCTGCATAATGGCCTTAGAGGAGGGTTCTTTGTGATTCTTCTCTTTGGAGTAGTTTGAGTCCCTGACGTACTGAAGAACGGGCCGTCAATAAGGTAGTCGTGGTACAATAAAGAAGTCTTCTGTTGAATAAGTGATTTGACAGACCGCCACCCAAGGACCTTATGTTGTGTTCTTTATGTCTTCTGAACTGGCACTTCACTCTGAGAAGAGACAGAAGCCCGAATCAAGAGGCAACTGCATGTCTATTAGACCTATTGGGTCCGAAACGCAGCAGACATTAAGGGACCATGGAGCTCTTCGTGTCCAGGTATCTACAGAGTCGAATGGCCCGCCTGGGCGCTAACATCCCTGGCCAATCTCTCGATTCAACAACACCAGCTCACAGCCAATCAATAAGACACCGACGTCGTTTCCCAGACAAATCTCTGTCTTGAGGCGTCACGGATGCAGGTCAGTCAATCCTCCCTGCGAGTGATTAGCTTGACGCATCTGGCGGGATGGGTGGAATCGGGCAGACATGATAGGATCATCAAGCGGGAGGGAGATCCCAAGAGTACGGAATCTGCCATCTGGTACAGATCTGTAAATAGCTACGGCGCTTAGCCGGTGTGCGGACCGGAGATTTTCTATCCACACGATCATCGCAGGAGGTTTTCCGGTGTTGCAGAACTGCAGCTATCCTTTGGAGCGAGCTCTTCCATTGGCCCGAGCTCGACTTGGGCGCTTGGGATAGGCTCTGAAGAAGTCCGTTGAAAGCGCTGTGACGGGTCCGACTTTGAGCACGGTATATATTCTGGTGGAGATCCCACCGGCTTCGCTGCGGTTGGGCGTCAAGCGCCGTTCAGATTGAAACACTAGCCCTCTGGTCATCAAGGCCCGGCGCGAAAAGCAAGCGCGGTAGATTTCTCTCAAGCCCTAGAAGACAGTGAATGTATACGACTTGGGGCTTTCGAAATAAAGTGTCCATGGCACAGAACATTGGACTATACCTTATTAGGTCTTAGATTGTCTATACAATCGGTTCTATCTCTCCCCCTAGACATTGACGCTAAACAGGCTTCTACGCACAAGATTATCATGGACTAGAAGGTGATCAGTTCAACGTATATAATAACAGTTATACCTTACGCTTGGGGTAATTCTTCTAGGCTTTTAAACTACATCCATGCTATGCCCAGTTGTACAGGGACACCAGAAATATATATCGATAGCACCCGTCTCTCCCACTCTTTCACGGGAAAGGAGACCAGTGTCCATACTTATTTTGCCTTTCATTCGCGTCAGTTTCATCACCATTGAGACGGCAACAAGCTTATAGATGTGAAGGTCATTGCATATTAATCCCGCTAACTCCACGATAGGCGAGTGCTATTGGAAGAGTTAGATGGGATACAATAGCGGTTATGCCTAATTCCCAGTTTCTGACCATGCATGTGCTGTGATCATCTTGGTTTAAAGTGGCGTGCCAGACCGCAATGACGGAACCGATGAAGCCTCCGGAGTATAAGCTTCTCCGTATCGCCCGTAGCTTTGAGCACTTGAGATTCGCTTTTCCTAGCCAGATTAGGATGACCCCGCCCGGAATATACATCTGGCCTTGTGTGACTCGCCTGTTCCTTATGGGACGACCATTAGGAACGACCCGGCGGTTCCAGGGTTGTGATTGTTGTCAGAACCAACTCGTATTGTTCAGTCGCACAACAATGTTTTTCCTTTTGGGGTTACGAATGGGTTATACAGAGGCTGGGTTGATGGCGTTTCATTTACATCATCAATATCCTCCTCCCATGCTACTTGGTCATGTGCTATATGCAACTAAGCTTACAATTGGATCATGAGCCATCCATTCATTCAGCCCGAAGAAAGTACTGGGCAAGCGACTCACCGTTATCGGACTTGCATCCAGTAAAATGCAGCTGTCTCGGGCCGAGAAAAGGATGGAAGGTCGTCTGGACTAGGCCAAGCCACTACAGGTAATGTGGAATCGAGAAGATAGCACTTGTCTTTCTCGCGTGGGCAGAAAGGAAACGAGATGAAGAGATTGATTAGATGCAGGGTGGGGAGGGTGTGCTTTATCTCCGAGGGCTCCCGCCTTCTCAATGGCTCGAGTGCCGTTCTGAGAATCCACCTGGGCCCAGCGTCCCACCAACGCCGAGAAGAACAGCGAGGGACTATGGAAGGGAGACCTGTGGAACGGAGGCGTGAAAGGTTGGCGGAAATGGAACCAGAAGATGCGGTCTCTTCAGTTACATAACTTTTTCAAGCCGTCTTTGAGTGTTGACCAATGATAGGCGTGTGTCTGGTTTGGTTTGGTCGTACGGGAGCTATTGCGTATGGAGGAGCCCTATGTCGGCTTTTATTCGCTTCCAGTTGTCTTCGAAAGAGCGGCCTGTGTGAGAGTGAGTGTTTTAGTCATGTGTCCGGCAAGGGCGGACGATAGAGAAACCTGATACGAGTCTAGCGCATAGAGATGGGGCACGTCATGCAGCCAGGATAAGCAGTAGTATCTGACTGCATGGTAATCCATGCAGGAATATGTTTGATCAGACCAGAAACAGAACTATTGGGTTTACCGTACAAGTGAGTACAGGCGGGGAGTAACAAAGAAATTTTAGGCTGTATTGCGATTAAGCTACCTTTTTGAGTAACTCCAGGTAGGTTTCCTTGTAACACGGATGGTACCATTGTGCCCAGTCTGGACGCATCTCGGGATATTCACGAACCTTGTTCGACTGTCCGGGATGGAAGCCAGTAGAGACAAGGAGGAGAGAGTTGGTTGTTTCGTCATGGGTTGTGGCTTTCCAGATGGATACGAATATATGAAGTCAGCGTCCGCGCGCTATTCCCTGCACAAGGTGATGATTGCCGTCGCATTTTCAACGAGTGATGCAAAATTTCTCTCGGAGTAAGCTGACCTTGAGAAGTGGGTGATCAGCTTCCCATTTCTTCTCCTCGCAGAACCAACCGCCTTACATGAGAGGGTGAATTTAGTCGACTGGGGGTCCCAAAAACGCAGGGTACTGACCGAGCCGATAAGCGGAGAGGGAAGAGTTGGGAGTCCATTTTGGTATGTAACATTGATGGTTGGGGACTAAGGGAACATTTATGTAATTTATCCTCACTGCTTCTCTTTTTCCCACCTTTTCTTTTCTTCGAGGACCATCTTCTCTCTTCAATTCTCTCCCGTTTCCATCCCTGTGGAACGAGAATAAGTTAGTTACAGTTGCCTGATTGCCTTAGGTAAGCGGTCCCTTTTCCCTGGGAAGATCAGCGGTCAACATCCAATTTGGTGGTGAATACTAAGAAAACGTGACAGGCGGCAAAATTCACCCGCTTTGCAACCTCATCGCCACGACCGCTCAGCCTTTCAGGGGTCCCGCCTTTCTCTCGTTGCCTAATCCCTCCTCGTCAAGAAGAATTCCTTCCAGGAATTGGGAATTGGTGCTCTCAGTCCGTCCTCCTCCAACCGGCAATTGAGCGAGGCATCCCTGACTCCCTGGTATTTTCCTCCCCGATACCATCCTCTCCCCTCCGGACCTTCCAGGGGGCTTCCTTGCGAAAGTTTATCACACGCTGACCTCGTGCGGCTTCACTTGCCTTCGCAGACCCCCTCTCCATGCCATTGACCGATCGTCGACGGTAATCTGGACTCCGTGTAGACCTGTGAATTATCTCCAACCCTCTGCGCCAGGGTTGCTCCCTGCGGACCCTCCATTCCGCCCCCTTCTTTCCAACATGGCGACCACCTTGATCCCCAGAAAGTTTCGCCAGGCGACCACCGAGAATGACGCTGAGCCTGGCTGGTTAAAGCGTCAGGTCACCGGTGTTCTCCAATCCATCTCGCGCCGGGCCTGTCTCCACCCCATTCACACCATCGTCGTGGTGGCCCTCTTGGCCAGCACAACCTACGTCGGCCTGATCGAAGGTAGTATTTTTGATAACAAGAACCCTCGCGATGTGGCCGGACAGGTGGACGTGGATACCCTGCTCCGTGGAAGTCGGCACCTCCGGCTGGGAGAGAGCACAGCTTGGAAATGGCAGGTTGAGGACAGCCTGCCGATCGAAGATGAGGTGAGTTTCTCTTCCACCGAGCGCATCCTAGTTGAGGCTCGCATGCCTAACTCTCGAACTGGATCAGACGGCCCAGCACCTCGGTCTGGCGACGTTCATTTTCCCCGATTCTACCTCGAGATCAGCGTCGACAGCCCCTATCGCCGACGAGGTTCCTATTCCTTCCAATGCCTCTGCCCAAGTCGTCCCTCATACTCCGAACTTGTTTTCGCCGTTTTCGCATGACTCGTCGCTGGCATTCAGCATGCCTTACAGCGAGATCCCTCAATTCATGAAGGCGATGCAGGAGATCCCTGATCCTTCGGCCGACGAGGATGTTGACGAACAGAAGAAGTGGATCATGCGGGCGGCTCGCGCCTCGGGGTCTGGACAATCTATCAAGCTCTGGTTCGCGGATGCGTGGAGTTCTTTCGTGGATCTGATCAAGGTAGGCTCCTTTCTCTCCTCTGAACCTATGACCTGGTAGCTAACAGGCAACAGCACGCCGAAACCATTGATATTGTCATCATGACTCTGGGATACCTTTCCATGCATCTCAGCTTTGTCTCCCTCTTCTTCTCCATGCGACGTTTGGGGTCGAAGTATTGGCTAGCTAGCACCGTCTTGTTGGCCGGTGCCTTTGCCTTCTTGTTCGGCCTTCTGGTGACCACGAAACTTGGTGTCCCGATTAATGTTCTCCTCCTCTCGGAGGGTCTGCCGTTCCTCGTCGTCACCATCGGCTTTGAAAAGCCGATTATCTTGACAAGGGCGGTCCTGAATGCTTCGGTCGAGAAGAAGAAGGGTGGAGCGCCCGGTCAGCCGGCCGCCAACAACCAGAGATCGATCCAGGAATCAATCCAGACCGCGATCAAGGAGCAGGGCTTTGAACTTGTCCGTGACTACTGTATCGAAATCGCCATTCTCGTGGCTGGTGCCGCATCTGGTGTTCAGGGTGGTCTCAGACAATTTTGTTTTCTTGCTGCCTGGATTCTCTTCTTCGATTGCGTTCTGCTCTTCACTTTTTACACCACCATCCTCTGTATCAAGTTGGAAATCACACGGATCAAGCGCCATGTGGCTCTTCGCAAGGCCCTGGAAGAGGATGGTATGAGCCACCGGGTCGCGGAAAACGTGGCTTCCAGTAACGATTGGCCCCAGGCTGGCTCGGAGGACGCTAGATCTAGTGATGCCAGCATCTTCGGCCGGAAGATCAAGTCTAGCAATGTGCGCCGTTTCAAGATCCTTATGGTTGGAGGTTTTGTCTTGGTCAATGTTGTCAACTTGACGGCCATCCCCTTCCGCAATATCACCCCGGGTTCTGGTGTTCCCATCCTGTCGCGCGTGTCGAACGTTCTCGCTCCTGCCCCCATTGATCCCTTCAAGGTCGCAGAGAATGGTCTTGATTCGATCTATGTCTCTGCCAAGAGCCAGATGAGAGAGACTGTCGTCACCGTCATTCCGCCCATCAAGTACAAGCTCGAATACCCCTCGGTGCACTACGCTTCGCCCGCCGAGAGCAAGTCCTTCGACATCGAATACACTGACCAATTCCTGGATGCTGTCGGTGGACGGGTCATTGAGAGCCTTTTGAAGAGTATTGAAGACCCCATTATCAGCAAGTGGATCATCGCCGCTTTGACTCTCAGCATTATCTTGAACGGCTACCTTTTCAACGCCGCGCGATGGAGCATCAAGGAACCTGAGCCAGCTCCCCCGGTCGCTGCTCCGGCGCCGAAGGTGTATCCCAAGGTCGATCTGAACCCCGAGGACCGCCCCAAGAGAAGCCCCGAGGAGTGCGAGGCTTTCTTGAAGGAAAAGCGGGCCGCTTATCTGTCGGATGAGGAACTGATCGATCTCTCTCTACGTGGAAAGCTTCCTGGCTATGCTCTCGAGAAAACCCTGGAGAACGAAGATCTGATGAGCCGAGTGGACGCGTTCACCAGAGCCGTCAAGATTCGTCGAGCGGTGGTGGCTCGTACGAAAGCGACTGCCGCGACTTCGGCCTCTTTGGAAACGTCGAAGCTTCCCTACAAGGACTACAACTACGCTCTCGTCCACGGTGCTTGCTGTGAAAATGTTATCGGATACCTGCCCCTGCCTCTCGGCGTTGCCGGGCCCATGCTCATCGATGGTCAGAACTATTTCATCCCCATGGCCACGACGGAGGGTGTTCTGGTGGCAAGTGCCAGCCGTGGTGCCAAGGCGATCAACGCTGGAGGTGGTGCTGTGACCGTCTTGACGGGTGATGGCATGACTCGTGGCCCTTGTGTTGGTTTCCCTACCCTTGCTCGGGCTGCCGCTGCAAAGGTCTGGCTTGACTCGGAAGAGGGCCGCAATATTATGACGACTGCATTCAACTCCACCAGCCGCTTTGCCCGTTTGCAATCCATGAAGACCGCACTGGCTGGTACCTACCTGTACATTCGATTCAAGACGACGACAGGCGATGCCATGGGTATGAACATGATCTCCAAGGGTGTCGAGAAGGCGCTCCATGTCATGTCTACGGAATGTGGATTCGACGACATGGCTACCATCTCTGTTTCGGGTAACTTCTGTACCGATAAGAAGTCGGCCGCTTTGAACTGGATTGATGGGCGCGGAAAGTCGGTTGTCGCCGAGGCCATCATCCCGGGCGATGTCGTTCGTAGCGTTCTGAAGAGTGACGTCAATGCCCTTGTCGAACTGAACACCAGCAAGAACCTGATCGGAAGTGCCATGTCTGGAAGTTTGGGTGGCTTCAACGCCCATGCCTCCAACCTTGTTACTGCCGTCTTCTTGGCAACGGGTCAAGACCCAGCTCAGAACGTGGAAAGTAGCAGCTGCATTACCACCATGAAGAAGTAAGCTCATTTCTACTTGCATAATACCCGTGATCTGTCGATACTGACTCCCAATTCCAGCGTCGATGGCAATCTGCAGATCGCGGTGTCGATGCCGGCTATCGAAGTTGGCACTATCGGCGGCGGTACCATCCTTGAAGGACAGTCTGCCATGCTCGATCTTCTGGGTGTGCGTGGCTCCCACCCCACGAACCCCGGCGACAACGCCCGCCAGCTCGCGCGCATTGTGGCAGCCGCCGTGCTTGCCGGAGAGTTAAGTTTGTGCTCTGCACTCGCTGCCGGCCATCTGGTCAGAGCGCACATGGCCCACAACCGCAGCGCTGCGCCTACACGGTCATCGACCCCGGTGTCCGCTGCTGTGGGCGCTGCTCGTGGACTCGCCATGACCGCTTCGAAATGAGCGGGCATGGACTGAGACGGCTATGGAAATGTCACTCATACTTTAATCACGATAGAATACCAACACGCACACCCTCCTTGTCACTCTGACGCATCCTTGACAGCCTGAACAAAAAAGCCCATCTCAGTTCCCCTGCACATGACGTTGACGAACCTACTGGATATGGGCCGGTGGGCATTTTTGGCAGGACTCAAGTCTTCCTCTCGCTTCGTTGTATGTTGATTACCTTTGCACTGTGTTTACGGGAGCCGAGGGATCACCTCGTGCAGTCTGCATGGGAATCACCGAAGTCGTTCTTTTGTGTCTCGGCGTGGGAATGAAAGGGGAAAAGATTTGATAGAGAAGCATCTTCAGTATTTAACACACCTGGGTGGCAGGTGAACAGGACCTCGGCACAGACAGCTGAGGCTGCACGCCTCTGGGATTGATTAATTTGGACCGTTTTATTGTTTCGGAAATGAAGGCCTGTGAGGCATGTATGATGTGAACAGATAGAATGAATTATTTTCCTTTAGCTACCTACCTAGTACTTTCAAGGAGAGCCCGTCTGGCTGACTAGGATGAGCTAGGACGACTAAATCGACTAAACAAGGGCTTTCTCGGATGGGGACGGCAAACCGCGCCAAGGCCAACGGTCTGGACTGGTCGGCGACGTGATTGGCATGGGAAGAGCGCCAATTTCGCATAGTCCATCAAGTAGTCTCTGCATTCTTCTTCCTGGCGTGCTGGGACAGGCCTAAAAGAGAGCAGGAAATTCTTGGACCCGCGTGCTGGGCCTGGGATAAGCTCGGGACTACTCTGGACTACTCCCTGCAGGAGCACTTCGCCTGGTGTACTCCGTGAATAAATCACCGCCACCGGAGGCTAATTAGGATCGGTTCCTGGTGGTGGAGTCGGCGGTACCTAGCGCATACCAGGTACTCCGTACAGTACGGGAGCAGCAAGTACACAAGCACGTCAAGGGGGCCATCCCACATGCATCGAAGGGATTGTGTGGATTCAAGGATGGTGTCTATTAATAATATCGAATTCTCAATCACCAATTCACCGCTGGGATATGAGATTTTCAAATGAAGTTCGTTCTTCGTCGTGTAGTAAGTAGGCTGTAAGAGAGTATCCAACCTTGGAGGAAGTCGGGGACGGTTTCCCCGTACTGTACTCCGTAAAGAATTAATTCCTCCTATCTCCAGCGTCTCCCTTTCTCTCTCGCTCTCTCGCTCTCGCCCTCTCCCCTGTTCATCGTCCTCTCTTCTCCATTCACGCCCGTCTCCTCCTCCTCCTCCGTCGCCTCCACTCCTTAGGGCCTTGGAGTGTGGATTTTTTTCTCTTCTCTTCTTCTCTCCTATTCTTCCATCCGGTCTGGGGTTGATTTCTCCGCTTTCCCATTCCTTGTTTCGCCCCTTGTTCATCGATCGGCCATTATTCATTCTTTCCTGCTATATTGGTTTCGATTGAAGAAAACATACCTATCCTTCGTCGTTCTTCTCCTTACCTTAATCTTAATATCCCTCGTTGCGTAATCTCCGGCGCGTACACAGCCTCGGATTCCCCAACAGAGTCGCTCCCTTCACCAGCCACAGTCTTGAAGATCGGAAGTGTTCTTCCACGGCTGCTTCGCCGTTCCTACCTCCGTCTCCCTCCGGTCGAATCTCGAATGCATACAACTATCACGTCATCCCATTCGTCGTAGCAGGGGTTCTCTCCCTGCTGGTACCGCCTCATCGCCGCGACCGCTGATGAATGGTCATTCAGGGACCATGTCGCCCGTCTCCGTCGACGGCAGTGACTGGTCAGGGATCAACCAATATCAGAAGTCCGAACCGCCTTTCTCCCCGACCTTTTCGAATCGCAGTAATCTTGCGACCCCTCCGACTTCCGGTGTCCCCAGCGCTGCCAACGGCGCAGCCATTGCAAATGGTGGCCCTTCTCCGAGCCAGGTGAGCGACGCGGGCAACCCGTCGCCGCCCAGCTCGGTCGCCGCGCGATCTAGCGATGGCACGCTGGCCGATCAACGCAGTCGACGACACAAGCAGATGGAGGAGATCCTCGGCCAGCACTATGTCGCCCTGAGACGCTTTCTCCATCACCCCTATCGGGACGACCGGAACGGCAAATCCAACAAGGCACGCGACAAACTTCTCCGTCTGTCCCCTACACAGTTTCATGAACTCAGTACCGATGTCTACGACGAACTGCTCCGCCGCCAGCAGGCCATGCCGTCACCCTCTCGCCCGCCGCGTCCTGACGTCCCGCCCTTCCTACCCCCTCGCGACGATTTCCACGAAAAACGCAACCAGGCGCGTCAGAAGCTGGCCTCGCTTCAACACCAGCGCTTCCGCGACCTCGCCACCGATGTCTACTGTGAATTGGAGCGTCGGTTCCCCCAGTTCCCCGCGCGCGAGTCGCGCCGCGCCAGTCCCGCCCCTAGTTTCCGTGGCCGTCCCTCCAACGGCTATCCGCCCAGCGGATACCCGCCGCCGCCGGGCTCGCGGCGATCACAGTCTCGTGGCGCGCCGCGCGGACGTGGTTATCCTTCCGGAGGGCCGCCTGGCAGTCCAATGGGCGCGTTCCCGCCCCGGAAAGGGTCGTTGGTGGGTGGTGCGCCGCCGTCGATGAACGGCGTGCAGAGTAACACGATCGTGCCGAATAAGAGTACGATGGTGGAGGACGATGATGACATGGCTGGCACAGAGGATGACTATGATGCGCGGAGCGATGCCTTTGCCTTGGATGCTGTCTTGAGTCGACGAGGGACGACAACGACGTTGGGTGAGGGTGAACGGAAGTTGTTGGCCGACACCCAGTCCCAGGTTACTACACTTCAGGAGAAGGTGAAGAAGCTAGAGGAGATGCTCAAGTCAAAGGACGAGGAGCTTACCAAATACCATGAGAACCGGGATAAGATGGAAAAGTTGGAGGAGTTGATTCGGTCGAAGGATGAGGAGATTGTGAAGTACCAGGAAGAACAGGATAAGTCTCAGGTACGTGGGACATCCGGATCAATCCTAATGCCTCTTACTGATCATGTGAACAGATAAGTACGTCGGAGCGACAGGAATGGGAGGGGTTGAAACTCGAGCTGGAAAGCAAGATCTCCAAAGCAGAGGATCTGAACAGTTCGCTGCAGATGGAGCTTGACAAGGTCCGGATGGAGCAGGAAGCCATGGAGGCTGATCTGCGAAACCAGATCGATGAGGCGTCGCGGCAAGCGTCCACGGACACTGAGTTGCAGGCCCGATTTGCCGATCTGGAGATCCAGCATCGAGGATTGCAGGATGAGCTGCGGGAACAGCAACAGGTCACGGAAGAAGTTCGGCGAGAGGCCGCTGGCTTTTTGATGGAGATGAGGGCACTGTCTGAGCAGAGCCACGCGAGATGGGAACAGGAAGAGCAACTCTCGAGTGAAGTGCATCGCTTGGAGGAGGAGATTCAGCAGTGGAAGAGCCGGTATGCTAAGGCGAAGACGCAATTACGACACCTACGCGCATCCTCCACTGGTATCTCGGACATCCGTCCGGATGTCAGCACCATCGCCAAGAACAATGAGCTTCTGGATGAGCACGGTCTGATCAGGGATGTGCATGTGACGAAATTTCAGATCTCAATCGACGAACTGCTTCGAATCGCCCGCTTTGATGACCACCAACAGGTCATGCAGCAGGTTAAGGCCGTCATTATTGCCGTTCGCTACATCGTGCATGATGTTGGCCAGTCTGAAGGCCTCGACGACGGGCTATCTGCACTGCATGCGAAAGCAACCCGCCGAGTATCTGCCACTGCGAACAACTTGATCACTGCGTCCAAAAATTTTGCAGGATCCAGTGGCCTCTCCCCCGTCTCTCTCCTGGATGCAGCTGCGTCGCACTTGTCGACGGCGGTTATTGAGCTCATTCGTCTGGTGAAGATTTGTCCTTCGCCGGCTGATGATCTCGAGGAGGAGTACGAAGAGCACCTGGCCCAGATGAAGTCGCCGGACTACTTCAGCGTAGCTCCAAGCCATAGCCGGCTGAGCCACAACGAGTCGGTCTACAGTGCCATCAGCCCTCCGCACTCTCGTAACCCGTCGACTTCTTATCACGGATTGGAGTCTGGGCCTAATGGAAGTGCTGTGAATGGGACGGCCGGCTACGTGGCTCAATCTGAAGACCACGAACTGCAGGAGATCAAGGTAAATCTTTCCGAACCACTTGTTATTTGCGTCTGCGATGACTGACAACCATGCAGCTCTATCTTGAGGATCAGACCGATGGACTTCTTCAATCCATCCAGGCCCTTGTGGCCAGCATCCGTGGGGAAGAGGGACTGACTGCGATCCGAGCTCATGTGTCTGCTATTGCATCTGTAGTCTCACATGTGTCATCCTCCGCAGACCACTTTATCCACCGGCCAGAGACGAGTCCGGCACTCCGGGAACGTGCCGCGCCTCTCCTCCACGCCTTGGATGGGCAGAAAGCTCGACTGACGAATACGGCAGCCGAGGGTGAAACAGCATCAGATGCAGACCATCTACGGAGTGTCACCAACAAGCTTCCGCCCATTGCGTTTGAGATCGCGCGAGAAACCAAGGAGCTTGTCCAACGATTTGATACGGTGAACTATGATTCGGAGGATGACTTTCGATAGTTCGTCCTAAGTTTGAGAGCGCTATTGTCTTCCACTTCTTGATTCTCATAAATTCTTTTCGCACACTGCCTCTTGCGGGGGTGTTTCTTTTCCCCATCATGCATGACAACGAGCAACTACGTGGGATGATATGCTGACATTGGTGGAGCTTATGACCTTCCTTTCTGGTTTATTTTGCTTGGCTTATTTCTACGAGATCTGTATACTTATCTTTTGACCTTCTCTGTCTATTATTTAGCATTTTGCTTCTTTGTTCCCGTGTGATTAGCGGTTGATTGGATAGGTCTTCTCCTGTGGATTCCCAGGGGTTATTGATATTTGCATTACATTTGTTGTTTGGCCATAGACTTGCTAGACACCACCTGCAGCAGTAGCCCAGGAGTAAATCACATGACTGCCTACCACAGCAGTCAAGCTGGCTCGGAAAGGCAGGATATTTTTCCGGAATTCCTCCGTCAAGTCCGGGTCCGTCCGCCTTGAGCTGCAACACACCATCTTGCCGCGCTTACGCTGGTTTGTGAAGTATACCTAGGTCTTGGTAAGTAGATGTTCCAATTCTTTTCGGTGCTCGAGTGCTCGCTAGTGTCGGTGAGATGGGATGGCTTCACCATGGGCGAATTGGGGAGTGGACAATGATGAATGGACACTGCATTCTTGTTGTCTTTTTCTCCCTCCAGCTCTCTCCAGGTCCATCTCCGGAGTAGCTGACTCAGCGGTCACGGATGGGTAATAAAACGGTCACTGACGGTATTCGGCACGGCGATCAGATCGTGTCGGAAGCAGGTTAATCCGAGTCGTGCCCCTCCAGCAACAATGTTCTCCCGAAGCCTGAGGTCAACAATAACCCCACCTTTCTCGTCTCTCTCTTCTCGTCCCCTCTCCTCCGTCCTCAATTGCAATCAATCGTCTTTCCTCTCTCTTCGTCCTTTCCATCAATCCACCGTCAGAATGGCCTCCACCGCTTGGTTCGACATCCAGTACGCCCCCGTGGGCTCTAGCACCCGTAAGTCCCTTCCTCTCCCGTTTTCCCCTGGTCCTTCTGTCCGATGTGGTCACCCCTCTTTGCAATCTTGTCGCCTAGACGGCCCAATTCCTGAATCCCTCAATGCTTGCTCACCAAACTCTTCTCCAACATTGCTGACCATGTCTCTGTCGCTGTAGCCAAGACTGGCCGCGTCAACTTCAAGCTCTTCAACGACGTTGTCCCCAAGACTGCCGCGAACTTCGCTGAGCTCTGCAAGAAGCCCCAGGGCGAGGGTTACAAGGGCTCCAGCTTCCACCGTATCATCCCCCAGTTCATGCTCCAGGGTGGTGACTTCACTCGCGGCAACGTAAGTTCCTCCGATCGCTCATACGAGGGAGACGCATTCAAGCTAACCACGATACAGGGCACCGGTGGTCGTTCCATCTACGGCGAGAAGTTCGCCGATGAGAACTTCCAGCTCAAGCACACCAAGCCTGGTATCCTCTCCATGGCTAACGCTGGCCCCAACACGTAAGTTCATTAGGTCCTAAACCCAGGACAAATCTTTCTAACATCCCCTTCAGCAACGGCTCTCAGTTCTTCATCACCACCGTTGTGACCTCCTGGCTCGACGGCAAGCACGTCGTCTTCGGCGAGGTTGCCGACGATGCCTCCATGCAGGTTGTCAAGGAGATCGAGGCTCTTGGCAGCTCCAGCGGCTCTGTCCGCTCTGCTGTCAAGCCCACGATCGTCGACTGCGGCAGCGCTTAATTGAAACAAAAGCAGAGACAGCCGAAAAGGGGGGACATGGGTTGTTCTAGACAGGAGTCTGAGCTCGATCGAGCTTGGGGAGCTACCTAGTACTCTCGAAGCGGGCATTGAGCGACGGCTCCGGTCGAGTCTCCTTTCCTTGCGTGGTGTAATCTAGAGTGTCTATGAATATATTGACAAGGTTTCTGCGATCACACTGTTTACCTTGTATTTTCTTCACTGTTCCTGTTTCTTTGTGTACCTTGCGCGATGTAGACCTGATAACCCCGCTCTGGGATGGTGGGGTCCGGTTACGTTATTGGTGCCTCAGGCAGGATGCTACAAGCAATGCGGGATACGGAGTGGCCCTATTCGTCTTATAGACTAGTAGAAAGTCTACTTGTCTTAGGGCCTGCTTTGTAGATACTGAGCTGAGACCTACGGAGTTGGAGGGCAGCCTCACATGCAACGGCTAATACATCAGTGAAGATTGTCCAGGTGGCCATATAACTCCCGATTCAGCTGAAGCAACAGGTATTAAAGACGTTTGTTTGGAGGACATATACCACACCCATGACCACAATAGCCTGAGGCCAACGCCATGAAGAGGCTCCATAACATGACCGTCGGCACCAGTTGGAAGATGCACGACTGTAGACTAAAACCACTGTCTATCATTCCAACCCTTCCAGTATGCAATATACCTTTCTAGATATTGTTAGATTGAGATAGATACCGGCACCCCTGCTATATGGTACCAACCTGCCTCCTACCCACAGCATTTGGTTACAGCGGTTGCATCATTCCTAAAAGCATCAGCATACCGAAAGGAAGAAAGAAAGGGAGAACAAAGGGGCACATAGGCACATACTCCTTCCCCAGCTGTAGGGGCTCCCACGAAAAGATGAACGAGCCCAGAAACGCGCCGATAAAGATGCAAATAATGATATACCCGTTAAAGTACATCGCCAACAACATGACAAAATACGCCACGGCAAACTGCAGCATGTGCAACGACGCCCGCACCGTCTGCTCGACCAGCGTCGGCCGCACCGGCGTGTACTGCATCTTGCCCGTCTGGCCGGCTGGCCCGGCGAGTGTGGCCTGCAGACCACCACCACCGGCGTCGTAGTTGGCGTCCGTGGAGGAGGACGATGCGGCGGCGGGCTTGGTGGACTCGGGTGACAGGACGAGGTATTGCGCGCGGAGACGCGCGCGGCGGACAATGAAGGCGTCGTATTCGCGGCCGACGCGCCGGAGGAGCTCCAGACAGAGGACGAGGCAAATGACGCCGATGCAGGAGCCGGCGAACATCCCGCGCGAGGTGATGTGCCAGGATTCGGAGAGGAAGCCTGGGGTGTCGGGTGTTAGTCGTGTTGCATTGGGGAAGGGCTTCGTCCTGGGAGGGGAGGCGTACAGGCGTCTATGGTGTTCCAGTTCCAAAGCATCTGAGGACTCTAGTTAATGGTCCGGTCGGTTTGGATGGTTAGGGTGAAGGTGACGAACGGAAATCTTGCAGCTGGACATGTGCATTCCTTCCATGTCCATGTCCATGTCCATTCCCGTATGAGAAGTACTGGTACTCATGGAGGATTCGGTGGCCGTGGCCATGTTCATGGTCATTGTATGCATTGAGTGGTCCATGGCTCGCAGGTATCAGGTCTGGTCGGGGGACGGGAAACGACAGCGATTAGACGGAGGGACGAGGTCATTCAGGAATAAAGGGGAATCCGATCGAATATATGGTTTCATACGGTGTGACAGATGGCGTGGAGCGAGATCGAGAAGAATGTTTGATGGTGCACAGAGATGCACCGTGAGCACATTATCACCACATCGCCAATCACAACGATGCTTGTGCGAGGAATTGAGCACATTTTGACCAGGCTAAGACCACGCCATTTATATTATCCAGCCCCATCCTCTTTCAGCAGGGAGTTCAAAAAAGTCAATGAGAAATAGATCAAAGGAAGAAAATCATGCATGATGTCGTAAAATACACGCCCAACACCGTAATGGCTCCCGATGGGTATAGGTAAACCATGCTTTTCGTCCTGGCAACGATGCGCCCACCTGGGCTATCTATCATGTGCGTTTCGATCCCTTGATGACCCCTTCCATAATCTCGCGAATTTGTTTGCAGCCGTCGATTCCAACCGCCAGCATCGTCTCGATGTACGAGCAATGAACCTTGGAGTCCATGTTCAGCATCGTCACCTTCATATCCTCCTCGTCTGTGTCCATGGCATTCTCCCCGACGGGGATGGACGATGTAGTACCGACAGTAAGGAATGGCAGCTCCTGCTCCTCGGGGAGAGACAGATCCAGCAGCGGGTCGAGTTGGTCATTGTGAGGGTCCCGAGGCGTCGAGGCGCTCCCACTCATGCCGGCGGTACAGCCACACAACAGACCGGGCATCGGGATACCCGCATCTACGAGAGCTAAGGTGCATGCGTTTACGGCAGCAGCCAAAAGCGATCCATCGGACGAAAGCACCGAGACATGAATGCTGATCGTGCTGTGCGGGTAAAGGTATGTGTGCAGGTGCGACTGGAAGGCGGCGCGGAGGGTCGTCGCAACTCGCGAGGATTGCCTGATCAATCAACCCGAGTCAGAATATCACTATGGAAGGGTTTCTTTGAAAATCGAGGCCACTTACCGATCGCTTCCTCCGGCGCGTCTCTTGCGGTCAACCCCTGCAAAGCCGGCAACGTTCACGTCCACCTCGACCACCGCACCGGATGACCCTGCAGATCCACCGGTTGCATCGCCGCGACGGCCCTCGGCGGGTCCGTGGACAGAGCACATTATCGTCGTATTTCCCATCGCAAGGTAGGAGGAACCGGAGCTGGCAGGATTGGTAGAAATTTGCGCTTGGAACAGTCGGAGCTCGTTCCACCGGCGGCCATCGAGGCGCAGTTTTGTGAGAGGGTATGTCGTGGATGTATCGAGAGGCATCTTGCGTGTATATCGCTGTAGCTCGTGATCGGTTTGGTAGGATGGTAGATGCGATGATGTTCAGCGATTTTTCCCCGCACCGACTGCGGCGCTCGACGGAGAGGGCGAAGTAACGTGAGTTGAATATGAAAGTGATGTTGCGATGATAGAACCCTCCCAAATGCGTTCAATATCGCAGATAACACTGGGTCGGGTGCAATGGTGGAAAATGCGTGGTATGAAGAAGAGAGCGGAATTCAATCGGCCGCAAAAATCGATCCGTTTAGCTGGTTTCCCGATTGGGAAATCCCGCTCCGCATTCAAGCCTCACCCGACTTCCGATAACTTCATCTTCCTCTTGCAATCACTCATCCATCTGCTCTCACATCGCTTCCTCTACCACTGTACATGCCATGAGTCACTGGGAACTCCAACCTTCAGATGCCACCACCGTCGATGACTCGGACGATGACGACGACCTCGACGCCTATCTATCCAAACCAACACCCCGTAAGTTCTCCGCATGCGACTACTCTGCCGGACCAGTTCTAACTTCGCGCAGGAACCAAACCGACTCGTCCACCAAGAGCGATCACTCCACCGATTACGCATCCTATTAAACAAGCATCCTCCTCCGTCGAGAACAAGCAGACCCCCGTGGCCAAGGAACCGTCGTCCGATAGCGATGGCTCGTTCAACGAGGGCGCCGCCGCCTACGAAGCATTCAAACGACGGAAATCCCTCAAGCGCAAACGAACCTCGACAAGTGCGCGCAAAGGAAAAGTCAAAACGCCTAAGTCAGAGACCCCCAGCTCTTTTGTTGGGAAGGTTCCGAAACACGAAGACAAACCCCGGCCGCGTCGCCCCCTCCGGGAATATGGTGAGAAGGTGCCGTCAGAGGATGAGTTGATGGAGTACACCCTTCCAGACTACCTGCAGAAACGTCGCTCTCTGTTCGAAGGGAGAATGGACCGTCTCAAACAGTCAGGGTTGAAGTTGCCCCCCAATTACAACGATGTCGAGTTCTCGGACGACGAACGGCTCGAGTTCTTGCGAGAAAAGCCTGCATTTACAGCTATGAACCCGTGCAGTCCGTACAAAGACATCACACTACCGTACTCACTTGGGCTGGTCCCGGCGCCAATCGCGCAGTGGTTGCGACAATATCAGGTGGACGGCGCTGCATTCCTTCACGAACTATTTGTCTACCAGAAGGGCGGGATCCTTGGAGATGACATGGGCTTGGGAAAAACTGTGCAGGTCATTGCATTTCTTACGGCAGCTTACGGTAAAACTGGGGACGAGCGAGATGCAAAGAGAATGCGGAAGATGCGCCGCAGCGGCCATGGATGGTATCCTCGGACCCTCATTGTGTGCCCCGGCACGCTGATCAGGAATTGGATGGCGGAGTTCGACCGTTGGGGTTGGTGGCATGTTGACTCTTACCATGGGGACAGCAAAGAGCTCGCACTTCAAGCGGCGAGGTCCGGAAGACTCGAGGTGTTGATCACGACTTATTCCACGTATCTCCACAACAAAGATGCCATCAACATGGTCGAGTGGGACTGTGTGATTGCCGACGAATGTCATATTATCAAAGAACGGACGTCGGAGACCACCAAGGCAATGAACGAGGTGAACGCGTTGTGTCGCATTGGGCTGACTGGCACGGCTATCCAGAACAAATACGAGGAACTGTGGACGATCTTGAATTGGTCGAATCCAGGAAAGTTAGGGCCGGTGACGACTTGGAAACGGACCATTTCGGAGCCGTTGAGGATTGGTCAGTCGCATGATGCAACGCTGCACCAGCTGAGTAGAGCCCGGAAAACAGCAAAGAAGCTCGTGCAAAACCTCCTCCCGCAATTCTTCCTCCGCCGTATGAAGTCGTTGATCGCTGACCAACTGCCCAAGAAGATTGATCGAGTTGTTTTCTGCCCGCTCACTGATACCCAGGCGGATGCTTATGAAAACATCGTCAACAGTGATATTATAACCTACATCAAACAGTCATCCGAAAAATGCGACTGTGGGTCAGGAAAGAAAGCAGGGTGGTGCTGCTACACACATCTGCCATCGGGGAGAAGTTGGCAGAGCTACGTCTTTCCCGCGATGGCTGTTTTGCAGAAGCTCAGTAATCACCTGGCCATCTTGATCCCACAAGCAATAGACTCCAATGACAAGCAGGAAAAGGACAAGGAGATGTTGGAAATCGCAGTTCCAGACCAGTGGCAACAACTTTATCGCACAAGAGACTCCATCGTGAACTACGCCAACCCTGACTTCTGTGGGAAATGGAAAGTGCTCAGACGTCTTTTGAAATGGTGGCATGCGAACGGAGACAAGGTACTTGTCTTCTCTCACAGCGTCCGGCTATTGAAGATGCTGCAGATGCTGTTCCACCACACCAGCTACAACGTCAGCTACCTCGACGGGTCCATGAACTATGATGATCGTGCGAAAGCCGTCAATGAGTTCAACGCGGACCCCCGACAGTTCGTCTTTCTGATCTCGACCCGATCTGGTGGTGTGGGTCTTAACATCACGTCTGCAAATAAAGTCGTCGTCATGGATCCCAATTGGAATCCATCATACGACCTCCAGGCCCAAGATCGTGCGTACCGTATCGGCCAGTCACGAGATGTCGAGGTCTTTCGTCTCATCTCTGCCGGGACCGTCGAGGAGATCGTGTATGCCCGACAGATCTATAAGCAGCAGCAGGCCAACATCGGCTACAACGCCAGTTCGGAACGGCGCTATTTCAAGGGTGTGATGGAGAAAAAGGACCAGAAGGGAGAGATCTTTGGTCTCAACAACCTCTTCGAATACCAAAACAAGAACATCGTGCTTCGGGACATCGTTAACAAGACCAACGTTGCTGAAAGCCGCGCCGGTGTGCAAATCATGGACATCGACGTGAACGAGAATGATGCGAACGATAATAAATCCGACATTAGTACCCGGAAGCAAAACTCCGAAGACGAAGTCATGAGCCAGCTTGCCGCCATGATTCGTGGTGATACCGAAGACTCCACTATGCAGGCCTCTCCAGTGCCGAAGAAACATGATCCCATCCAGGCTATCCTGACAGGTGCAGGGGTTGAATACACCCATCTGAACAGCGAAGTGATCGGGTCATCCAAGGTGGAACAACAGCTTAGTCGGCACGCAGAGCTTGCCGGCGACGGCGTGAGCAATGTTCAAGTTTTTCGTGATTCGCAGAACAGTTCTGGGTCGACCGCGTTGCAAAAAGACGGCAAACCCGTGCGCTTCAAATATCATCCTCCCCCGGATGTGATGAAGCGGCAATTCTGTAGTATGGCTAAGCGGTTTGGATTTCCGAATGCAACGGAGTTTGCGCTGGTCGTGGAAAGCATGACGCAGGCACAGCGACGCGCTTGTTTAGAACGCTGGTATCGGGAACGGCGCGAGGCACTTCTTGGGAGCGGTGAAGATTCATGATTACTTTGGTACGATACTGATGCTACTATGATACCCTATTCGTTTTAGGAGTTGGTCAACGCATACATAGGTATGGACATAGACATTTGGTCAATACATTTGGATTAAAGTTTGTCAAGTAGGCATCTATCATCGTAGCATTCATAGGCTATTCACCTACAGCCACGCCAAAGTCCACAAAGCCGGCAGGGACGGCCACTTCTCCTGCCAATCGGCCAGAATATGCGGGACTTTTTCGTCGAAGCTCTGCCTTGCCGGACCGGTACCATTCTCCCAGCCATCCGGGCCATTCAGACGACGCTCCTGGGTCGCCGCCTCATTCAGTCTGTTCGCAAGGTCGAGGATAGCCTTGCCACCGACGAGGGCCTCCTCATGGTTATCCTTGATATCGACGTTGAAGACATGCACGGGGCGATTCAGCGCCGAGCCCTTGTTCATGAGATCGTCGACGACGGCATCCCAGCAGCGCTCCTCGCAGGTGATAATGACATCGACGACGCCGCCCTCAGTGCCCAGGGCGCCCTTGTCGCCCTTGGAGACGTGGTCGACGCGCGGCATGCCGGGGACCCAGTCCTGGAAGCGCTCGGGCCCCCATTTCAGGTTGCGGTTGCGCTCCAGCATGTTCAGCAGGCCGTTGTGGCGGTACAGACGCTCGTCCTTGGCGAGCAGCTCGTCGTACATCTGCGCGTAGGAGGTGGTGTTGAAGTTGTAGACGTTGGGCTGGGTGATCGAGGGCCCGGGCAGGCGCACGAGCGACCCCGTGCCGAACGAGATCACGGGGAAGGGGGACGGCGCCGACGACAGGCGCAGGTGCGCCTCCATTGACCGGTTCTGGTTGGAGGCGCAGACTGTGCAGAAGCGGAGCTTGTAGGAGTCGGAGGATTGGGAGGGCTTGGTGGTGTCGTCCGAGGTGGATTCCTCTTGTTGGGGGTTTTCCTCCGGGGGAGGGGGCGGTGGTGGAGGGGGCGTCGCAGTGCCTGCACTGGACGGGAGACGGGGGTCGTGGGCCATGGTGTATGGGTGGAAGAGATTGTTTTATCTTGTATTATGGCCTAGGGGTGGGATATGATGGAAGTATAGGGTAGGATTAGAGATCTAGTGTTATAGTCAAGGTGGTTGAAAGATGTGTGCTGTAGGTTCCTGCAGAGTCTACGCGGGATTAGCCAGCTGTTCAAGCAATTGACTTGCGTTATAAGGACGAAAACAGGGCTCGCAATGTGAATCAGAAAGATGAAAAGCGTATAGTAATTAGGTTGTCCGCATGGTGAGCTCGGACAGCTCCAATAATAAAAATCATCATGGAATTGCAGGGTGGGAGATGCTGGGGATACGAAGAGACATACCGTTGAAGAGACTCGCATTATCTGGACGACTACAAGAGAATGATTGTGGGATGGAAGAAATTGACGGTGTTGTGGGCCGGAGCCCTGAAGAGCAGATGAAGAGAAGAAGAAGCGGATGAATCAACAAGACGAAAAAGAAGAAGCGAAAAGAAGCTGTCAGTCACGTGGGAGGACTAGCCCAGTTCCGTTGCTGATGTAAGCCATGCTTTGGCTTCACAAAGAGCCAAGAGCCAAGATAGATCAACGCATGGTGTTACTTGCATTATTTCCATAAACTATGCTCAGTCTCGAAGAACATTAACTGTGGTTTTGTTGATCCCATAAAATACCAGTGAGCACATTATTTGGGGAGTCGTTGTTCGTCAATGCCTTGCACGGGTTGGTAGAATGCGGCATATCTCAGCGAGTATACACTGTCTTACTGTTGTTTGTTCGGGTATAACTGCTTCAGTGCCTTGGCATTTCTCCTTTCCTCTTTCTGTCATCTCTTTGTGACGACAGCTCTAGCGTTCGAACTGCCCTTGCATCCGTTCTGTCTACTTACAACCTCACCCAATATGGCGGGCAATGAAACCTCTTGACGGCCTCGATAGGGGCGCTAAATACGAGAGGCTCGGACGGCCACTCAAGGAGACCATACCATATGTCGACCTGTGGAAGCCAGGAGAGCTAGTTTGGCCGGTGGACATCCCAGAGAGCTTACGCACCGAAGACTTTTATCTCGGTGACTTTGGCTCGGCAATGAAACTCGGCGACCCAGTAGTACGGAAGTGCTTCCCACCTGTGCAATTTCTCTCTCCAGGTCGACTTTATGGGATGCATCCCAGTTGTGCGTGCGGCATGTGGAGCCACATGGCCGTCTTCGCAGTGCTTTACCTTGGCCAGTCGCCTTTCCACGCCTTCTTTGAAGGTGGGATAATGACTTGCATAGTCAAATGTTTTGGGCCGCTACCTGAGCAGTGGAGGGGTCTTTACGTTCATCCAAAAGGGCTCAATTCCTTGTATGATCAGAGTGGAACGCCTGATCCAAAGCATGATCCTACAGCAAGACTTGCACACTTTCGCAAGGACACTGACCCAGCTGAACGAGAACTTGTGCGCATCATCATGTGTAAAGTTTTCACTTACGACCTAGAGAAACGCCTTACTGCAACACAACTTCTGCATGATCCCACATTCAGAGCTCTCATGAATAAGTATGGATGTTGATGTTAAGACACTCGGTTTGTGCCCGTCCTTGTTTGTTTGTGCATGTCAGAATCTGTCTCTCCACTTTCCTGTGAAAGGATTGTTATCTTTACTCCAAGAATCTGTCCTGTCACTAGATTTCTGAGTTAGAGATGCATAGTGTGTCTTCTTGGACTCTTGGCCGCATGGTGTCCTGGGCATCGGAATGACATGCGGGGTCACAGATTATGGCAAGTCGTTCCGAGCCGTCAAGATAAACCAAGATTTAAAGACCCGATACTCCATGGAGTGATCAAAGAACCCTGTTCTCTACTATAGACTCTCTTACCAACCATGGAAGTAGTCATCATCGGTTCCGGAGTCATTGGGTTACTGTCCGCCCAGTATCTGGCGCAAGCAGGCCACCGAGTGACAGTCATCGCTCGGGACCTACCTGGCGACGAGACACAAGACTGGGCAAGTCCATGGTATTATTTTTCGACCATTTTGTCGTGAATAACAACTGACAAGCTCAGGGCTGGTGCAGGAATTTTCCCCCAACCCGATACCAATGGTCGGGACCTACAGGAGGAGACCTTTATAGAATTCTGGGCCCTGGCGCACCGCGACCCCACCAGCGGCGTGCAGGTCGTCAAAACCACCGAGTTCTACGATGACAGGACAGACGACTCGAGTATCTGGTACCAGAAGTTAGTGCCAAAATATCGACGTATACCGTCCCAAGATCTCCCCGAAGGCGCCAAGATCGGCTTTCAATACCTGTCCATGACCGTCAACCCGGCGCGGTACCTCCCATGGCTGAAGAAAAAGCTAGATGCGGACGGCGTGCGCTTCATCCGCAAAGAAGTCCACTCCTTCGACGAAGCCGTGCAAGAGTCCGGAGCGAAAACTGTTGTGAACGCGTCCGGGTTGGGTGCTTTCGAACTCAGTAACGACAAGGATGTGGTAGCTGTCCGGGGCCAGACGATGCTTGCGCAGACAGACTTCGATGAGCTGATGATGTGGCAAGGCTCACAGTACACGTACGTGATCCCGCGGATGTACACTGGTTGTGTGATTATCGGCGGAGTTAGCCAGGAGGGGAATTTGGATCGAGCGGTGGATGAGAACCTGAGATCGGATATCCTGGCAAGAGTGAAGAGGCTCACGGCTGGAGGTCTTGATGCAGTGGAGTTAAAGGCGCATGTGAAGAAGGATATCGTTGCGTTTCGGCCTGCGAGGAAAGGAGGATACCGTCTTGAGACGGAGGGAAATGTGGTGCACGCATATGGATTCGGCGGTTTGGGCTACACATTCAGCCATGGAGCAGCTCGCCGAGTCCGGGATCTCGTTAGCTCCCTGGCACATAAAGGGGGACGGGAGAGTCGTCTCTAGGCGAGATGGCGGTTGAATTTGTAGATAGAAGGATATTTGGTGTATGCTACGGAGGAAGTCCGACAGGAAAGACCTATTTGAACTATCATTTCGCCCTTTTCTATGGATAAATGGTATACAAGGTAGTAATTCTCCTATGCCGATATTGGACCACATTGGCTTCGAAAAGAGCAAGGATATATTGGATCTGTCTCTCCAGCGCATCTAGATCCGCCGAACGTGGGATGTGTGGATGTGCCCAATTCACATACAGGGATCTTCAACATTGATACCAATTCGCTGTCATATCTCCGGCATCTCTGCCGCCACAACTTTTATCGACCCATAATATACATTGACCAAAGAGCAACTCATAGAGGCACGATGAGAGTCTACATGTTCGGCCACAGTGCGGCACGTCATGTGGGGCTCATCCGGGATACTGCTCACTGCTTATCTCCGGCGGATACCTGAGACGAAGTCCAAACCTCATCTCCCTCAACCCGTGATAGCAGGCTACAGTGCAACGATTGCCCACGATGAGGCCCGCTTTGATCGTGGTTGACATGCAAGAGGACTTTTGTCCTCCGGTAAGCGACGCCTAAGAATCAGGACATGCGACAGAGTTCACTAACGCATCCCTCGAACAGAACGGCTCTCTCGCAGTCCACGAGGCACGATCCATAGCCCCTACCATCAACACCCTCCTCGCCAATCCTGCCTTCGCTCTACGCATCGCAACCCTCGACTACCACCCACCGAACCACATCTCCTTTGCGCCCAACCACCCCGCCCCGAACAACCGCCCCTTCGAGAGCTACGTTATCATGACCAACCCAGCGCCGGACAAGCAAGACGAGACCAAGCCACAACGCCTGTGGCCGGTGCACTGCGTACAAGGCACGAAAGGTGCCGAGATGATCCCGGAGATCGACGCCAGCCGCTTCGACCTGTACGTGAAGAAGGGGCTGCACCCGCAGGTGGAGATGTATTCGGCCTTTGCGGACGCGTTCGGGAACTTCAAGACGGCTGAGGGCGACGACGGCGGCGAGTCGGTCGATATCGATCTGCGCACGTTCCTGAACGACAAGAATATTACCGATGTGTTTGTGACGGGGGTCGCGGGCGACTATTGCGTCAAATTCACGACGATGGATGCCGTCCGCGCCGGGTTCAAGAGCTACTTTGTTGAGGATGCGACACGATGTACGGTGCCTGGAAAGGACTGTCTGGAGGCGACGAGGGAGGAGCTGCGCGCGGCGGGGGTGAGCATTGTTCGGTCTGATGGGCCGGAGATTGCGGCGCTGTCGGGTTGAGCGGTGACTGTCCTTTGGAGTCTTCTGAGAATCAAGTAATGAGTCATGACTGAGGGCCATTTATACACGCGGGCACTATCAATTGGATGCTCTATATACTATAATAATATCGTAATGAATGGAATAACAAGATTCTAGGCGCGTACTAGCGGGTACCGTGAGACAATGATGCATTAGCCCACGCCACAAGGCTTGGTCTATATACCTTGTACCCGTCAACGAAAGTATATGGAGTACAGCTGTTGGGAGAGCTTACGGAGTATATTCTAGGTATCGTAGGAGCACACGGCCGTTGAGACCCAAATACCAGGAGAACCCTGGAACGGCGACGCCCCGTCAGTATGACAGGTCCCCACCGGGTGGAGTGAAGTTGCTGTTGCTCCTTGCAGCTCCCTTTCTCCAAAAAAAAAGGAGTCAACGATTTCACTCCCTTCGTCCCCCACACAACAATCTATGGCATGACGCAAGTCGACGAACAAGCCCTTCTCGAATCACGTCTGGAGCGGGTCCATTGACCGACGATCCTCCAAGTCGCCACGCAACCGAAAGCTACTCCGACCGTTGAATCCGAACCAATCGTACCGGCTCGATTCACCCAGATCCCAACCTACCTATCCATCAGCCATTCGCTTCACATTTCCCGCCAGAGAGGAAGCTCAACGGCCTGTCTCGGCACCGACGCAGGGGTCCGCGAGCGAGCTCCGCCGACGTCATGCCTCACGAGGTGAAACTCTCCGCGCCGCCTGTGGCGACCCTGTCAGCCCGGGAGAAGCCTAGCACGACCGATCCGCCACAGCGTTCACCATCCCTGCCGTACTGGCTGGTCAATGTCCCGCGCGCCAAATGGCCGACCGAGTGCCCTAGTTTCCTGCGCAACCAGTCCGAGAAGAACATTGGCATCCTCGCGACCCCGGACGAGGCGTATGTTCCGCAAGGGTGGGAGGTGGTCAAGGAGATCGTAGGTGAGGTGGACGATGCGGTGCTGACCTAGTCTCGGAAAGTGGATTCTGACGACTGATTTATGCAGCGACCAACCGGATTGATCGGTTCCAGCGCCTCCCCAGTAGTCTGCGGAAGTATCTGGAATACAAGGAGCGCATCGTGGCCGAGTATGGCTCGATCATGCGGTTTATCATCAGGGAGCGTCTCCGCTGGGGAGATGGAAAGGCCGAGGACCTGAAGGCACGGGGACGGCCATTCGAGTTTGAGGGTGAGTGGCCTTGATAGAACCTGGTGAGGCGGTGCTAATGGGCGGCAGAGGATATGCGGATTCTCTACAATGACTGGCCGTATGGGGTCGAGGAGGGGATTGTGCATCTAGTGGTCTGGACCAAGTTCGCCCTGGAGGATGACCCAGCAACGGGGGATTTGACACCGCGCGCGAGACAGGAGATTGATGATTATGTGACGAAAGTGTTCCGATCGCGGATGCCCGCGGATGAAGTAAGTTGGATCAAAGGACGTTTGACTCGAATGTGGTCCCAGGTGACTGACTGATCCATGGCAGGTGATCTGGTTCCGAAACTGGCAGTCCCTCAAGTCCGTCCATGCGGTTGAACATTTCCATGTCATGCTCCATCATCCGGATGAGGCGTTTCTGAAGGAGATCACGCAGGGGGATGTTCCGTTGCATGCACGAGTGGAAGAGTAGAGTAGATTAGACAGCTTCAGTAGTGTGGTTTGATTTCCGGCTAATTCCTGCGGAGGTCTAGAGGGTCTAGAGAGTCTAAAATCTAAGGATCTAGAGGACAAACATGCTGTATAGATGCCCTGGACGGTTATCCACCATATCGGATCCGGCAACCCAATCTCAACCTCGTCCTCTTCCCCTGACCGAGCCCAACAAGAAACTAAAGAATCATACCTAGTTAGATCCTAGATCACTGCATGATGACGAAGGGCCTCCCCACTCGCCAAGCCGGCAGCCCCTCCTGGCTGGCTCGAGCATCAATCAACAGTCCCTCGTGGGCCCAACCAGGCGTCAACTGGGAACAGCGAGGCGGTCAGAGACGCACATCGCGCGGTCAGGGCTTTTCTCCCGGGAAAAAGAAAGTCTCTGCACTGGGAGAGAAACGGACAAGGGACGGACGAGGAGAAGAGGGGAAGATGCAGGACAGCAGAAGGGCGGGGGAGAAAAGAGGCACCAGGACGATCGCCAGTCGGACCAAGTATAGTATGTGAGTGTGGTTGTTGGCAGACCGGAGGGCGTCGACGAGAACAACCGAAAGGCCGTCCGGAATCCACTGGGGGTCTGCGATCGCTTCATATAAATCTACCTTTTTCTCGTCTTCCGTTGTCTTTGTTTTCCCTCTTCCTCTTCTTCTCCTTCTTTCTCCTTGTTCTTCCATCGTGTTCGATATACTAGCCCACTCGTGACCCCACGAAGAAACGATCCCTGCGGCGTCTCTGCAATGGACCCTGACTGACACGAACCTCGAATTCCATCTGATTTTATCGGCTGATATTAGTTTGTCTGAATTTTTGAGACCCTTCCGAATCCACGATGGTGTCGTTGGTTGAGCATATCCGGCGGCGGTCGTCCCTCAGTGAGTTCTACTCAGTCCCACACGTCATCCCCTCTCTGGCGGGCAACTTTCTTTTTCCCCAAGCCAACCTCCACCACTTCTCTCCATTTTCCTCCTCTCCACTCCATATCCCCTCTTATTCTTGCGTTCTCTTTTCCCTCCTTTTCCTTCCATCATGTCCGCTGACTGGGGTTCCTTTTTCGGCATCTCAGGCACTCGTTCGTCGCTCGACGAACCCAAGCCTGAAACCGCCAGCGGCGATGACGAAGTCGTCGAACCCGACCACGGAAATGGTATGTCTTGTTGCGATCCTCCGTGTACTCCGACCAACTGACTCCCGCAGTCCTCTCTCACATCATTTCTCAGCTCCGACCGGGTGCCGACCTGAGCCGGGTCGTCCTGCCCACCTTCATCCTTGAGCCCCGGTCCATGTTGGAGCGGATCACGAAGTAAGCGCGCTTTCGGGACTCGTGCGAGACTACCAACTGACCGATGGCTCCCAGCTTCATGGCCCACCCCGAGACTCTTCTCCCAATGCCTACCATCGATGACCCGCTGGAACGCTTCGTCTCCGTTGTCAAGTTTTACCTGAGCGGATGGCACATCAAGCCCCCGTATGTCGATTTTCACTGTGAAGCGGACAAGGGGGATTTGGCTAATACCGGTGTAGAGGCGTGAAGAAACCGCTCAACCCCATCCTCGGCGAGACCTTTACTTGTTACTGGGACTACCCCGACGGAACCCGCGGATACTATATCGCCGAACAGACATCCCACCATCCCCCCAAGTCGAGTTACTTCTTTATGGCCCCCGAGCACCATATCCGCATCGACGGCACCCTCAAACCCCGCAGCAAGTTCCTAGGCAACTCCGCCGCCAGTATGATGGAGGGGATCGCCATCCTGCGCTTCCTGAACCGCGGGAAAGACAAGCAGAAGGGGGAGCGATAGTGCGTGACCAGCTACTCACTCTGATGACCCCGAGACTGACCAGACGTTTAGCATCCTGACTCAGCCGAACATGTACGCGCGCGGTATTCTCTTCGGAAAGATGAAGTATGAGCTGGGTGATCACAGCTACGTTCGCTGCCCGGAGAATAATCTCGTTGCCGACATTGAGTTCAAGACCAAGGGATACTTCTCCGGCACGTACAATGCCATCGGAGGGACCATCAAAAATGAGGCGACCGGAGAGGTGTACTACGAGCTGTCTGGTATGTGGAACGGCGAGATGGATATCAAGGACGTTCGGGTACGTATTCCCGCCCGTCATCTTCCCTAAAGACCGTTGACTGACCCCGCAAAGACGCATGAGAAGACTCCTCTTTTCGACGCAACCCACGCCAAACATACGCCGCCGTCCGTTCGCCCCATCGACCAGCAAGGCGAGCGCGAGTCCCAGCGCTTGTGGGCGAGCACCGTCAAAGCGATCATCGCCCGCGACCATGAAGCTGCCACCGACGAAAAGACCAAGATCGAAGACCGTCAACGAGAGGAAGCCGCCAAACGCGCCGAGGATGGGGTTGAATGGCATCCGCGACTCTTCCGTCGCACCCAGGGCGGGCCTGGCGGGCTTGACGAGGGCGAGGAGGATCTCGACTGGATCATCAACGCTGAGATGTAAGGACCTTGCTCGGTTGACTATACGGCTGAACTAACATGTCCGTAGCGATCCACACAATGCCGAGGTCGCCACAAAGCAGATTCTCGCGATCGCACCGATCCTAGACGGCCAGGTTGAGTCGACCCAGTTCCAAATCCCCCCGCACCACCCCAAGTCTGACGGTGCGACCTCCGACCAGAACGGCGCCAGCGAGAGCTTAATATGAGGGCGGCTTCTCTGGACATCAACCTACAACCATGCCCGCACGCGCACTCCCGCCGGAAAACCAACGAAAAGAGACAAGACAACGGTAGAGCAATCTTGGGTCACCCGCGACGTAGTTAACCTGCGCAGAGGACCTACCTTAGACCGTGCGACGACCATCCGATCCAAGCCATTACTCATGCCCTCTAGGTCTCCGTCCATACAGCATCAATCATGCACATACAAGCGTACACATGTACATGACGGCAGGCCCTATCGTCTTCAACACCCGGTCGTCACCGATTGCCTACCGAGCAACTATATTGGATACCCGATTGCAAATTATTGAATTCTCTGTTGATCTATTTGATATATACTTTATATTATTACCGTTGTCGTATTAGGGAGATACAGGTGATTGGATAGGAGGAGTCGGAGGGTTGATATATACACTACCGTGAAAATACTTGGCTCATAATGAATGGATGTATGTATTTTCTTCCTTTCCAGATACAATTCAGGGATATCTTTCCGTATAGACCAAACGCCAGCCCCAACACCTAGACCGTAAATGTACAAAATTACAAGGCACAGGCAGCCGCATGCTCCGGCTCAAGACGGGTACAACTCGCCACGCGTTCCAGCCGCCCTTTCCAGCTCCCGCCGTCGACTGTTTTTATTGCCCAGGCTGCCGGAGCCTTCCCGCTCTTCGTCGGCGAGGGCGGTTTCCTCCTCGATCTCCTTTTCGGTTTCTTCGCGCAAGCCCAGAATGTCTGGGGGGATGAAGCTCATCTGCACGCTGGGGGCGCCTTCAATATAGCGCAGCTGTTCGCGGATGGACTGGACCAGATTGTTGAGGTAGGACCTGGGGTTCTTGTTCTCGAGCTTGCGCATCTCGGACAGCGGGGGGAAGAGCGAGTAGTCCGGGCCGAAGTGGTTGCGGAACTTGACGACATCGGGGATGACGGGGTCGATGACGTCCTGGGCGTCGATGAGGATGGAGGTCTCGTGGGCCCAGGCGCGGGAGACGTTGCGCGGGGTGTAGCCGCCGCCGCCGACGACGAGGAGGGGCAGGTTGAAGGTCTTGACGAAGGCGACGCAGGCACCGTGGGCGGCGACGTTGAGGTTGAAGCAGCCGAGGCGGTCGCAGCCGAGGGAGTCGGCGCCGCACTGGAGGACGATAGCGCCGGGGCGGTAGGTGTCGACGCAGGCGCCGACGACGTCGCGGAAGAGCTGGATGTAGGAGTGGTCGTCGATGCCGTCGTGGAGGGGCACGTTGATGGCGTGGTGGGCGCCCGGGTTGAGCGGATGGGTGGGGCCGGTGCTGTCGAGGGCGCCGGTGCCGGGGAAGAAGTTATCCTTGTCGTACTTGTGGAAGGAGACGGTGAGGACGCGGTCGGTGGACCAGAAGGCCTGCTCGACGCCGTCGCCGTGGTGGACGTCGATGTCGATGTACATGACGCGCGGGTGCAGGCGCAGCAGCTGCAGGATGCCCAGGACGATGTCGTTGACGTAGCAGAAGCCGCTGGCCTCGGCCTTTTTGGCGTGGTGCAGCCCGCCCGACCAGTTGACCGCGATCTCGGCCTGGTTGTTGCAGAGCTTGCGCGCCGCGTCGACGGTGCCGCCCGCGTACAGCGCGCAGTAGTCGTACAGCCCGTCGAAGATCGGGCAGTCGTCGCCAAAGTTGAACCGCGCGATGTTCTCGCTCTGCTCCGCCTTCTCCATGTCGCCCGGCACCACCTGCCGCAGGAAGTCCAGGTAGTCGGTCTTGTGGAACTCGGCCAGCTCCTCGTACGTCGCCGCCCGCGCCAGGTACAGGTCCATCGCGTGGTGCATGCCGTACGCCATCACCAGCTGCTTGGTGAGCGTGAGACGCCACGGCTTCATCGGGTGCGACTGGCCGAAGTGGTGCAGTTCGACTGCCGGGTTGGCGTGCCACGACACCCGGTAGCCTTTGGGTCGGGGGAGTCCATTGCGCGAGAGCCGTTCGAGCGTGACCTTGTGGTCGTCGGTGAGGGTGGGAGCTGACGGAGGGGTGTATTCTTGAACGATGGCTGATCGAGCCATGCTGGGATAATCGGGATTGGTAGGACTATGGCATGCTTGTGAGGAGTTGATCGGGGGTGTCGTTGAGTTGAGTTGGAGTTGAGGATGCGGATGAAGATGGGAGAAGATGGAGACAAATTCCACTTGGTGCCTGAGGTGTGTATTCTTAGTAAGCAGTCGCCGCTTTGTGCACAGATCTCAAGTCGTGTGCATTAGTCACTATGTCCAGGGTTTGCGGCACATGGACCCATGACGGTCGAAATTAACTCATAGAGTTTCTGCCGAACAGTACCTTAGACATCAGTGGCGAAAGAGAGAAAGAAGCAAGGTAAACAGTATGGTACACCACACCGATGTCGGATCGGTTACAGCGGCAACGGTCTCTTGCCGGCGACATATTTAACAGCCGAGGTCGCGATGCCGTTGGGTCTGTGCAACTATAATCAACGAACTCAGAGAACAACCTCCAATCACTCGTCCTTTACTTCGAGTACACGATACCGCTATCTAAGCTTAATCATGGTACTGGTCAGCGCCGCCACTAAGCTTCGGCGCACGCTTGAAGACCCGCAATCCTTTATTGCGGCACCCGGAGTGTACGATGGTCTGTCGGCGCGGATCGCCCTGTCCGTCGGCTTCGACGCTCTATACATGGTGCGCCCCTTGCCCTATGCAGCATCCCATCTCTAACAGACCCAGACAGGCGCAGGCACCGCAGCCTCCGTGCACGGCCAAGCCGACCTGGGCATCTGCACGCTGAACGACATGCGGGCGAACGCCGAGATGCTGGCAAACCTGTCCCCGTCCGTCCCCGTCATCGCCGACGCAGACACCGGCTACGGGGGCCCGATCATGGTGGCGCGGACGACGGAGCAGTACGCGCGGTCGGGGGTGGCGGGCTTCCACATCGAGGACCAGGTGCAGACGAAGCGGTGCGGACATCTCGGGGGCAAGATCCTGGTGGACGCGGCGACGTTTGTGACGCGGATCCGGGCAGCGGTGCAGGCGCGGCAGCGCATCGGCAGCGACATTGTGGTGATCGCGCGGACGGACGCGCTGCAGCAGCTCGGGTACGAGGAGAGCGTGGCGCGGCTGCGGGCGGCGCGCGACGCCGGCGCGGACGTCGGGTTTCTGGAGGGCATCACGTCGCGCGAGCAGGCGCGGCGGGTGGTAGCCGACCTGGCGCCGTGGCCGATGCTGCTGAATATGGTGGAGCATGGGGCGACGCCGTCGATTACGGCGGCGGAGGCGCGCGAGATGGGCTTCCGGGTGGTGATTTATCCGTTTGCGGCGATTGGGCCGGCGGTCCAGGCGATTCGCGAGGGCATGGAGAAGCTCAAGCGGGATGGGATTCCGGGGTTGGATAAGGAGATGACGCCGCAGATGTTGTTTCGAGTGTGTGGGTTGGATGAGAGTGTGAAGGTGGATGAGGAGGCTGGAGGGGCGAGCTTTGAGGGAGGAGTTGATTTGTAGGAGGCAATGGACAGTTGGATGCTGTGTTGGGCTTATGGTTGGCATAGATATACAGTCTGATATACAATGAATCTTGATCGAATGCTGTGGTAGCAGCATATACAACACATGCATGAAAGCAGTGACTCTATGTAAATAGATTGTCAAACACACTGGATACTTAGGTAGTCATGTTCTGAGTCCGGGCATTGATTTTTTTTGAACATCACTAGTATATATACCATCAAACAGGCGGGGGTTTTTTTGATGGAAACATTCTAGAGAACTATTTATTTAATTTACCTAGTTCCTCGATGTCCCATTGTTGATCACCGTCAACTATCCTGGAGGGTTAGACTTGTATTTCATAGCTTTGACCAGTCCATCTGTTGAGTTTCTGCAATATATTCCATCAAAATGCTCTTATCTCAAGCCTACAGGATATACTCAGTGCAGTAGTTATGGAATCACATGAGAGATGAATAAGCATCGGCAGTGCGGCTAGACGATCGACGGTGATGACGAGTCCAGTGAGATACTTTACTCGCTGATCCTGCAATCCTTTGAGAAAGGAACCGTACCTGTAAAGACCAAGAGAAGAGAAAGACAGTCGACAGTCAACTGTCGACTGTGACTGAATCATTTTCTGAATCCACTTGATCAAATCTGATAGAAGCAATCTCCAGGTTCATGGTTGCTCCCGCACGAAACGCTGGTTCCGCGATCAACCGTGGGCCGGCAGCCCACGGATCCGTTGTTTATTTACGTTCTCATTTCCACGAAATCTTACAGCATACGGGACGGTCTTGGAAGTACCTAGGTAGGAGTCATGGAACAATGAAATCAGCTCGTAATCGGTTCATTGTTATTCCATCTCCCAAGAACTGGGCGTCGACTGGCTTCCATAGTCGGGCTCGGCAGGAACGCAAGCGAGTGCACAGTGGCGAGACCGTTGTGGACACACAGACACGACATGAGCAGCGCAGTGGGGACGGCAAGTCAGGGCCATCTTTTTGGCTGGCCAGGTCTATGGAGTCGGCGAGATGATCAGTGATGATCTATCTGTACTTGTACGAGTAACGAGTATTGGGTATACATACCTTGAAGGGCAGGGTACTTCTATAGGTAAGGTATCATAGTACAATGACTGGATCTCTGGGTTAGATAGGAGGTCCTGTTCCTGCTGTTCCTGAGTTCCGTTGCTGACAGGGATAAAGGGGCAGCCTAATACGCGTTGGCGGTGGTACCTCGCATCTCGGCGCCTCGCCGGATGTCTTGGAACTAGCGGTGACGGGGGGGATTGGTCGAGGAGGATCGTAGGGGCGGTTGGCCAGGAGTTAAACAGCTGACGGGCATTGAGAGGATTTCGACTTTGACGTGGTGTTACTGTGTGTTGTTGATGTGTGTGTTTGTGTGTGATGTGGTGATTGATGTGTGATGATCGGTTAGGCTGTCAGGCACATTCCAATTTCCGCCCTTCGCTCATTCCACGGCTGGAATGTGATCTGTGTAGTTTATTCAATCATCTATACAGAGTACGCTTCTACTCTGTACAAGAGACCCTACCTACATACATACAGATAGAATGGAGTAAATCCCTGAATAAAGAGCAGACTGTGTGTATTCAGACCCTGTATTGTACTCGTATGTATGGACCAGAGTCTGGACCCTGGCCAGTGGGGCCACCAGTCCAATCAGCCGTGGGGAGACCCCGTGTACTCCAATCAAACGGGCAGACCCCTGAAGGGCCCCTTTTTTAATTAAAATGAGTTCATTTACGGGGTCCTACTTGCTAGTACTCCGTACACTAAACCGCTTCTTATTTACTCTGCCCTGTGCCGTCTCTCCCCTTCTCTCCCTCTTTTCTCCCTCTCTCCCTCTCCTCCTTCTCTCCTTCTTCCTTTCATCTCTCTCCGGGTCCTCGTCCATTCCTTTATCCAGAGCCTGCTGTTGCTCAGCCATTCTTTTACTCCTCTTCCAATCTACACTCCTTCCTGCGTTCCCGGATTCTCCTACACCCTCACCATGCAAATCAAAAACTCCCTCCTTCTGGCAACGGCGTTGACCGCCGGCTCGTCTGTTGCCCGTCTGCACGGCCACGAGCGCCGCCACGTCCACAACGACAAGCGCGCCGTCGGTGACATGGTCTATGCCACCATCAACGGCGTCCTCGTCTCCTGGATCAACGAATGGACCGGCCACGCCGCCACCGCCGTCTCCAGCGACTCGCAGGCGGAGGCCACCACCGTGCCCACCACCGCGTCCGCGTCCGCGCCGTCGACCGTGTCGGCCGTCCCCACCTCCCCCGTGACCCTCACTCCGGGCTCCTGCTCCGACTGGAAGGCCACCCGCGACGACGACAACTACTCGACCGACGGCTTCGGCGAGCGCACCTACGCCAACGGGCTCGAGTACATCTGGTACAAGGGCAACGTCGGCAACCCGTGGGGCAGCAACATCATCGAGGTGGACGGCTCCAAGGCCTGCGAGTACAAGCACGTCGTGCGCATCGGCGGCCAGCATCAGAAGCCCTGGACCATCAAGTTCTGGAACAAGATGGGCCCCGACGGCAAGCTCACCGGCTGGTACGGCCACTCCGCCCTGACCATCAAGCTGCAGCCCGGCGAGACCAAGTACGTTGCCTTTGACGAGGACTCCCAGGGCGCCTGGGGTGCCGCGGAGGGCGATGAGCTCCCCACCGACCAGTACGGCGGCTACGCCTGCACCTGGGGCGAGTTCGACTTCGGCAACACCCACAACAACGGCTGGTCCGGCTGGGACGTCTCCGCCATCCAGGCCCAGTTCGCCAACCTCTTCGTCCAGGGTATGCGCATCTGCGACGCCGAGGGCCAGAAGTGCTCCGCCATCTCCAGCCTCGCCAAGTCGGTCCTCAACGCCTACACCAAGGCCGAGGAGGGCGTCGACGGCATCGGCGGCAACCAGGTCTCCGGGCCGGTGCGTCTTCTCGTGGATATCGACTACAACGAGTAAGCTCGTCGCGGTAGACGGGCCAGTCCTTGCTTCGCTGTTGTATCTTCTTGATTTCTTGTCTATTCAGTAAATGCATTTCTTGATAAAATTTGGGGTTGGAGGTGTTTTTTTGTGTGCGGTGCACGGTTCGTCCGGACCAGCAACCACCGTCCAACGGGTTCGCTTGTACATACATATACCATGTTATGATGATATACCTTATACTATTGGAGTGATTCCATCCTTTTCATTCTCGTATCTTTCTCGTGACGTTGCGCCAGCCGCCTGTTGCCGGGATATAAATACTCTCACGCTTAAGGATAGGGGTAAGATGCCTAGGGAGTATCTATATTTAT